AGCATTAATAACAATGACTTCTACTGCATCATACAATAAAAACAGCCATCAATCTCTGCTGGGGGAACACACACTTACTCATCTCTCTGGAATGTAATGTGCATTATAACTGTACAATAGATAGTCTAATAAAAACACAGTTTTACAGCATGGCTTAACCAAAGATATCCCATTTATTTAACCAGTCCGTTTCAGGCTACTGTAGTTACCATATAAAATCTAGAATGGACCAAGCACTGCACACACTTCACTTCCTCTAATCAGCCAACTACAAAGGCATGAGAGCACTGGCTGCTCTAAACAACCTAACTCAAATATATTGGACCAACAAATTAATACAATTCAATTGATTACTGCAGTCAAGGAAGGTAGAAATATATGTGTGCCTTTATAGGAGATGTTTTATATCAAGGGTACAGTATTTAATATCTAATGGAGTTACTCCATTTATTGACTAAATTTGAGTGAGTAATTGCAGAAATCCCTTGCAATAAAGCAGGGGAGGGAACTGGTGACTGTTCATAATATATATTTACAAACACCTATTGCTGTATATCATCATGCACTTCATCTGTGAGGAGGGTTCTTGGGAGTAAAAGAGTAGTAGCCGTACTACAGTTTGTAGTGAATAGCCATACTACAGTTTGCAGTGAGTAGCCATACTACAGTTTGCAGTGAGAGCCATACTACAGTTTGCAGTTGAGTAGCCATACTACAGTTTGCAGTGAGTAGCCATACTACAGTTTGCAGTGAGTAGCCATACTACAGTTTGCAGTGAGTAGCCATACTACAGTTTGCAGTGAGTAGCCATACTACAGTTTGCAGTGAGTAGCCGTACTACAGTTTGCAGTGAGTAGCCATACTACAGTTTGCAGTGAGTAGCCATACTACAGTTTGCAGTGAGTAGCCATACTACAGTTTGCAGTGAGTAGCCATACCACAGTTTGTAGTGAGTAGCCGTACTACAGTTTGCAGTGAGTAGCCATACTACAGTTTGCAGTGAGTAGCCGTACTACAGTTTGCAGTGAGTAGCCATATTACAGTTTGCAGTGAGTAGCCATACTACAGTTTGCAGTGAGTAGCCATACTACAGTTTGCATTGAGTAGCCATACTACAGTTTGCAGTGAGTAGCCATACTACAGTTTGTAGTGAGTAGCCGTACTACAGTTTGCAGTGAGTAGCCATACTACAGTTTGTAATGAGTAGCCGTACTACAGTTTGTAGTGAGTAGCCATACTACAGTTTGTAGTGAGTAGCCATACTACAGTTTGCAGTGAGTAGCCGTACTACAGTTTGCAGTGAGTAGCCATACTACAGTTTGCAGTGAGTAGCCGTACTACAGTTTGCAGTGAGTAGCCATACTATAGTTTGCAGTGAGTAGCCATACCACAGTTTGTAGTGAGTAGCCATACTACAGTTTGCAGTGAGTAGCCATATTACAGTTTGCAGTGAGTAGCCATACTACAGTTTGCAGTGAGTAGCCATACTATAGTTTGCAGTGAGTAGCCATACCACAGTTTGTAGTGAGTAGCCATACTACAGTTTGCAGTGAGTAGCCATACTACAGTTTGTAGTGAGTAGCCATACTACAGTTTGCAGTGAGTAGCCATACCACAGTTTGTAGTGAGTAGCCATACTACAGTTTGCAGTGAGTAGCCATACTACAGTTTGCAGTGAGTAGCCATACTACAGTTTGTAGTGAGTAGCCGTACTACAGTTTGCAGTGAGTAGCCATACTACAGTTTGCAGTGAGTAGCCGTACTACAGTTTGCAGTGAGTAGCCATATTACAGTTTGCAGTGAGTAGCCATACTACAGTTTGCAGTGAGTAGCCATACTACAGTTTGCAGTGAGTAGCCATACTACAGTTTGCAGTGAGTAGCCATACTACAGTTTGTAGTGAGTAGCCGTACTACAGTTTGCAGTGAGTAGCCGTACTACAGTTTGTAGTGAGTAGCCGTACTACAGTTTGTAGTGAGTAGCCATACTACAGTTTGTAGTGAGTAGCCATACTACAGTTTGCAGTGAGTAGCCGTACTACAGTTTGCAGTGAGTAGCCATACTACAGTTTGCAGTGAGTAGCCGTACTACAGTTTGCAGTGAGTAGCCATACTATAGTTTGCAGTGAGTAGCCATACCACAGTTTGTAGTGAGTAGCCATACTACAGTTTGCAGTGAGTAGCCATATTACAGTTTGCAGTGAGTAGCCATACTACAGTTTGCAGTGAGTAGCCATACTATAGTTTGCAGTGAGTAGCCATACCACAGTTTGTAGTGAGTAGCCATACTACAGTTTGCAGTGAGTAGCCATACTACAGTTTGCAGTGAGTAGCCATACCACAGTTTGTAGTGAGTAGCCATACTACAGTTTGCAGTGAGTAGCCATACCACAGTTTACAGTGAGTAGCCATATTACAGTTTGCAGTGAGTAGCCATACTACAGTTTGCAGTGAGTAGCCATACCACAGTTTGTAGTGAGTAGCCATACCACAGTTTACAGTGAGTAGCCATACTATAGTTTGTACTGAGTAGCCATACTACAGTTTGCAGTGAGTGCTTGATGTCCTTGTTTATTAGTCCATAACAGACACATGTTCAAAGACATTCAAGGCTGAGTTGAAAAACAAAAACGTAAAAGCTTCTGATACAACAAAAATGTAATAAAAACAATTGTGATACATTCATATCCACAAAAGCCAAGCATAAAGACGAAAACAACTGTTTTTCTGTCACACAACTGCACTACCACAAGGCCCTGAAGACATCCTCCCTTCCCTAGGAGAGTGTGTGTGTGTGTGGTGTATATTTACGCACATATAGAAGTCTACCTTCAGAGTGTTAGAGGGAGCAACGTGAGCGCAGGACTGTCGTGCTGGGGTTGAGGTAGGTTACCAGAGTAATTCTGCTTTAGGCCATTATGTGACTGAGACAAAGTAGAGAGCATAGAGTTAAAACTGGATCTATCTCTACAGTAGAGAGATCCAGCAAGAAGACAGTGGGTCCGTCCGACAGCAGCCCTAACCCGGGCTACCGTAAGAGTACTGGGCTGGCTCAGGTTGGCTCTGCCTCAGGGAAGCTCCAGCTCCAGAGAGCATGGTTCTGGAGGAACAGGGGGAGCACTGGTGGTGGTACTCACAGATCTGACCCTGGATCAGATCCCAGTCTAATAACATCCCTTTGACTGTGTGTTTGATCAGTAAGATGACAGCATGAGCACACTAAACTCAGACCTGTGAGTTAATACCTGTGGTCCACCTGTTAAACCATCACCCTCTGGATTTGCATGCAGCAGTGTAATAAACGTTTTCCTGAAGCACTTTCATTTGTCAGTGTGGAGGAGGGAGGGAGTGAGGGATCTGGGATGGACAGGCTCGATAATTATGGGCTATTCATTTACGACAGAAGGGAATTGATTTGATTTGAGCCCTGATGAAAAATAACAAAGGAGTGCACTGTGCCACAGCTTGGAGTGAGTGACAGGCAGAGCCCAAAATATCCAATTAGAGTGACACTATTGCCAATTGAAGAGACAATTATCTGGTATCATATCAGATACATTAACATTTGTGGTTGTCAATGCCTACAATGACATTTTGATACATTTGTGTTACATTTTCTTAATACATCACATATACCATATGTACACTCTCTCACTCGCTGTCACGCGCACACACACACACACAAGTACGCACACATGCAAGCACGCATGCACGCACACATACAATTCCATCACAAAATCATTCATAAATACACATATGATGTATGTCTCAATTGAGCGTAAATGTAACTAAAACCTCACCTGCCCAATGGAATATATGTAGCAGTTCTCACATAGCAGTAAAAATGTCCTGAAATTATTAGTAGCAGTGCAGTGCATCTCTAACAGTCTTTTCAATCAACTGAAGCAACTAATATTCAAATAAAACAAAGACTAAATATCTTACACAAACACTATGGAAAACTATAGCAAACGTCTTTACAAGTAGAATTCATACAACAATATCATCTGTCAACTTGCATGAGGTACTGACATATCCACAAACAGCAATTAATCGACGGAGGGAAGCCAGGAGCTCTCACAACAGAAGTACATGTTTCATTATGAAAGAAAGAAGAACAACAACAACTACAACATTGTTATCTTGAGGTAGAACATTGACTTCAGCGCTTTGAAGTGCTTTCCGTTTGATTTTTTTTTTCTTTTTTTCGCTTCGACAAGCAGGAGAGCGGCGGTTCTTGACATCTGAGGTAGCGTTGCACCTGTTCTCGTGTTTTTTGAACCGATCGCTCTACATGTAAAAGTAACTGAACACAAGGGGAAGAGACGCATCCAAAAGGTTTCCCACAACACATTCATTCCGGCTGAGGTAGGTTTTTGTTGAATCCTAAGGTTCACATAGCCAAGTTTAGAGCCTGTATGAAGGCCGAGAACTAATAAAAAACCATTGATATCACTGAAAATAAAAGTCCTGAGACAGAGAATATATGAAATCACTGGAAGAAGGCCTTAGTCTTCGTTGGATACGTTTGTGGAATCATTGGTAGGCTAAGAGTAGGCAGCAGTCTGACGTTGAAAGAAAAAGTAGAAATAACACCAATAACTTATAACCATTTTGTGAGATAGTAGAGAAATAAAAACATATTAAACTCTGAGATAAAATGATGAGTGTATAACAAAGATATTCTGGGCATCTATTCTGTGTGCTGCCGGCAACCAGAAAATTAAGGAAGTACGAAAAACACTTCATTCATCTGCCAAAGCTAAAACATAGCTGTCCATCACAAAAGCGCACCAAAAACCTAGGCCGGGGACACCTCCAAGAACGAGTCCAAGACCCCTTTAACTTTTCCAGAGGCTACTTATTTAACTTATCAATAATACAATTCTTTACACAAAGGAAAACTAATATGAAAGGAAATACTTAGGTCGACCTGAGAGTGAGAAGAGTCTGAGGTGACACTGTGACCATGTCACAGACTTGACCTTCATGCTTCTATCAGGCCTGGTCCTGCTGGGTGACTCCGGCCACGGCTCTGTCACTTGCCCCCCGGCCCTCTGCTGGAGGCCTCTGGAACTGCGTCTCTCTGTCCCCCTCCACGACCAGGCTGAAGTCATCCAGCGGCAGAGTGGACAACTGGGTCTCGTTCAGTGCACAGGACACCAGGGAGCTATCCAACTGGAAACACACACACACACAGTAATGTAGTTAAAGATGGAACGCGTAGTAGGGGAAACAGTGCCACCATCCGCACAACTGCCGTTGTTATTGTTTTGTTGACGAGGTGAGGAGCGTCCTGGTGAAAATAATTGCAGTTCAAATTGTGCTGTTCTATCGCGTGTGCAGAGGGAAAAAACAGTGTTAGTTGTTTGCAGTCAATCCTTTGTTGTTGTAATATCCTTAACGGGCGTGGCAGTTTCACCAATTAAGGATTCCAGCTTTAATATGGTAATTTAGAAAATGGCCAATCTAATGTAAATCTAGTCCATTGCATCATTATGGACATTGGATAAATTGAACTCCTATGACTTGATTTCAGTTGAGTACTTGGTGCTTTTGAGCTGTTACCACAGTGTCAGGCCATCTACTCACCATGCGTGAACTGTCAGCTAGGTCTCCACAATGGGACGGTCCTTGAGAAGAGTCTCTCCAGCTCGTTGCTGTCTCCCCTGCTCTTCCCAGCAACGCTGCCGTTCCCTTCCATGCTTGACCTGCTCACCCCGTTTAGGGCCAGGGCCCCCTGGGAGGAGGAGGACGACTCCAGGGCAATGTTACGCCCGGCCTGGGGGGTGGCCTGCACTGTCTTACACGTCATCAACCTGGAGGAACACAAAAACCCACCGTCAGGCCCCAGGCTAGGATCAAGCCCACACAGACACACATTGCCCCCTTGTGTTGCACCCACACTCACCTCCCCCTGTAGCTGAACATGAGGAATAGCATGCAGAAGACGATGCAGGTGACTCCTATATGGATGCCGATGACGATGCCGGTTGTAGAGGTCTTGCTCTGTTCATCCTTCACACAGTCACAGGGGGTGTTCAGCACTGTAGAGACACACACACACAGCCCAGTAAGGATTTACATACACACAGAGAAACAAAGCTGTCATACAGTACACCACAATCTAATCTAGTGCCTCCAGCCAGACTACCAATGCTGTGGCAGCATGGAGTGATCCAGCCAAAAGAGAGCTGTAAACACACAACAACCTGCATGAGGCCTCTTCAACGCTGCTCTGGAAACATTACAGGACGTGTGAGCCATGGTTTGCGTGAGTGTTTGTGTGTGTGTGGCAGCAGGCAGTCACCTGATTTCTCCACAGCCTCCTTCAGTGAGACGAAGCGCATGGTGGCGTTGCCGTCTCCGTGTTGGTTGAAGGCCAGAACCTTAATCTCATACACCAGGGTTGGATCTGAGGAGAGGAGGAACACAGAGAGAGAGAGCAGTTGAGACATATAGCTATATGAATAGAGTTGGCTTCTAATGTACTATCATTCAAGGCATTACTTCAAATACATTGACTGTGTAACAATCCCTTCAACACATCTCCATGGATAATCCTACCCCCAGCCCCCAGCCTATGTCCCCCATCTCACCAAGCTGAGTGATGTTGTACTGGGTGACGTTGCGGGTGAAGGTGAGTGGTCCAGTGAAGAGGGGGGTGTGGACTCTCCTGTAGAACAGCCTGAAGCCCTCATGTTGGCCCATCTTAGAGGATGGCTCCCACACCGCCTGCACCACACTGCTGTTCACCAATTTAATGAATAGTGACGGGGGTGCTGGCACTGAAACACACACACAGACACACACACACACACACACACACACACACACACACACACACACACACATTCACACACACACACACACAATGCTGTTAGAAACCCCTAAACATCCACATAACATTAGTCTATAAAACAGGTTTTTAGTACTTTCTCAGTATATCTCAGTCAGGTATGTGTCTACTGTACTACTGACTCCTGTAGGTGTTTTACAGAACCTTTACAATAAACAACTCATAAAAACCTTTTTTGGTCCATGTAATTACCACCAATTAACTTCTTAGCAGTGAGCGTTTATGTCTGTGTGTGTAAGTCTGTGTGTGTGCTGTGTGCATATGCTTATGTGTGTGTGTGTGTGTGTGTGTGGGTGCTCTGTTTGTGTTTGTGCAAGTGTGTGTGTGTATGTGTTCAAGTGTGTGCGTTCCCAAGGCACACCTTCGCCCAGTGTGCTCTCGGTGGCGCTCTCGGAGGGCTTGCTGGCTCCACGGGACGTGTAGGCCTTCACATAGAAGGTATAGCTGGTGGAGGGCTCCAGATCCCCCACCACCTGCTGTAGAGTCACCTTACTGACGGCCTCCTGGTACTCCATCTCCACAAGGTCTGAGAGAGGGATGGAGAGAGCGATGGACGGGGGAGGGAGAAAGAGAGAGAAAAAAAGAGCGAGAGAGAGGTTGTTTAATTTAACTGTTATTTGTACACTGTAAAATAATGTAGTTGTTTCAACTAATTATTACTAAGTAATTGGTTCCACAACATTTTTTAGGGGGTCGATCAGCTTTTATAGTGCAGATAGATTGTGGCTTCTATCAATGTAATTATCTGCATCATTTCTCTGGTTTGCTGCAAATATATAATATATACAAATATATATATAAAACAATTATAATATATATTTAAAATAATATGTATATATTTAAAATAATATATATATATTATTTTAAATATATATATATACTGTATATATATATATTTTTAAAATATATTTTCCTAACCCTACCAGCCCTCCCCTATTTGGAGTAAACTAATGGACAACAATACTTCCAGTTTATACATACTATATACATTTTACGGACACAGACTTTTTTCCACAGCCGTTTACTCAACTTTTGGACCAAGTGTTACCTGAACAACAAAAACATTTGTTGGCCCAAACTTTGCTCCAACTTTACAAAACTTAAGCAAAAATTAAGTACATTTAAAATGACGTGTTTGCTCAACTTGTCTCATATGTTCATTCAGCTACACATTATTTACACAGTGCTTTTCAACTTACATATTTGACATACATGTTTACATTGTGCATTTATCAGTATTCAACATGTCCTCACGTGGGATTTGAACTCAGAACCTCTTGGTTCATGGTATTCCAATCTTCCTGCTACGCCACCATGTCTGCGTCATGCAGCAGTTAATCTGACTATTCTCTCATCATTGATTTGATTTACTTACTTCACAAATGTTTGTTTTTTCTGTATAGTTGGCATATTACTCTGTTTTAATATTACTACTTAATCACTATAATAAATAAAATAGTTTTTCTAGAGTGTACTTTTAACAGAGCTGAGATTTACTTTGAAGTACAAAGTGTAGCAATAGAGGTGAAATCAGTCATTGGACTGCTGTGAACCAAGAGGTTGTGAGTTCAAATCCCAGGGAGGACATGTTGAATATGAATTCCTGTATAATTCACATGCACTATATCAAATATGTAAGTTGAAAATATTATATGTTAAAAGCACTGTGTGTAACTAGTTCCACAGCCTTTTTTAGTTAAGATGCCCAAATAATAATTTTTAGTTGAATTAACATATGAGACAATTTGAGCAAACACATAATTTTAAGTTGACTGAATTTCTGCCTACATTTTTTCAAGGTGGAGCTACAGTAAGTTTAGGCCAAGTTTATTTTTGGGGTAATACTTGTGCCTAAAATTTTTGTAAACAAAAAAATGGCTGTGGAACTAGTTACTTAATAATAATTAGTTGATACAATTAGATTTTTTTTTATAGTGTACTGTCAGGATTACTGCATTTGGTAATAGGGACTGTGAACAACAGAGCTGAGTGAATCGAGGGGGTGGCTCTAGGTGAGTGCTTGTTAAATTTGAAGAAAGAGGGGGGTGTAGGGGGAGGGGGTTACAGTGCGTTATCGCCCTTAAGTCAAAGTTACTCACCCATAACCACTATCTACCTCTAGCCCTCAGCCCATTGGGGCAGCCTGTCTTTGGTAGGTAATTAAAGCAGTTCCTATGGGCTAGCCCCTGGGGCCTTTAATTATACATCTGATAGCACTACAGAGGAGAGAGCAGCAGCTGTGCCTGGGTGACGTATTCTGTTACTGCTGCACACACACTCATACAGAAACACACATGCACGCACGCAACCACACACACATACTATACGTGCGCACACACACACGCAACCGCACGCGCACGCACACACACACACACACACACACACACACACACACACACACACACACACACTGGAGATTGCCACACCACCAGACCTCACAACCCCAGCAAATAAACATTAACATGCCAACATAAAATGTTGTCTCATTCAATTATCAATTAAAAGCACTTTTATGGCTCCTCTATAGGAAGGAAGGGGATGGCAGTGCGACCATCCATCCTGGTGTGGCTGGAGTACATTCTCCCTGCTCTCTCCTTCCTCCTCTCTCCTGCTGTCGCCTGTTTTCTCATTCTCTACCTCTTACTCTGTTCTCTCCTGCTCTTTCATCCTCTCCCCTGTTCTCTCCTTCACTTTTTAGCTTCCTCCTTCCCTTCTGCTTTCTCCTGCTCTCTCTTCCTCTCCCCTACTCTCTCTTCCTCTCCCCTACTCTCTCATCCTCTCCCCTACTCTCTCATCCTCTCCCCTACTCTCTCACCTCCTCTTCCTCTCCCCTCCTCTCTCACCTCCTCTTCCTGCTCCCAGCTCAGTGAGGGCCCAGGGGAAGAGGAGCTAGAGGGGTGATGCTGGAAGATAAGCTGTAGTCAGCCCTGGGGGAGCCAGCCTCCCAAGCCTCCCCTCCATTACACACAGAACACTCTACCTACTGTACATACCACACTCACTACTGTTCTGTATCATCTCCTAACCCCACACGGAGGGCAGCCATCCCATTAACCTCAGTAAAATAACATACGTCACATAGAGAGCTAATGCATGGACATGGAATCACTGGTCACTTTAAATGGAACACTAGTCACTTTAATAATGTTTACATACTGTTTTACTCGTTTCATATGTATATACTGTATTCTACTGTATTTTAGTCAATGCCACTCAGACATCGCTCGTCCTAATATTTATATATTTCTTAATTCCATTCTTTTACTTTTAGATTTGTGTGGAATGTTGTGAATTGTTAGATACTACTGCACTGTTGGAGCTAGGAACACAAGCATTTCGCTACACCCGCAATAACATCTGCTAAATATGTGTATGTGACCAATAACATTTGATTTGATTTGCATATAAGCAAAATACCTTTTTTCAGGCGATAGCTAGATGGTACAGTATGTACTACAATGACTGGATAACATCCGGTCTCCCCATAGTGAACCAGTTCATCTGAGCCAGAGCAGTATTGTGTGTTCTATTGGTGTGTTAGAGATGGTGTTAGCCACTAACCTGTGGTCCTGCGGATGTGGAGCACGTAGCCGATGATCTCCTGAGTGTTCTGGGCAGGCTCCTTCCAGGACACCTGGATGGCGGTGGGTGAGAGGGCCTCGGCCCGCACCAGACTGGGCATCCCTGGCAGGCCGTCTGCCCACAGCACGGTGAGACGGGCACTGGCCTGGGTGGAGCCGGCACTGTTCTCAGCGATGCACTGGTAGATGGCTTCGTCCTCCTGACTGACGCCATAGATGGTCAGCGTGCTGGAGGAAGAAGAGGAGAGAGGGAGGAAGAGGAGGACGAGGAGGAGGGAAGAAGGAGGGATAAAGGAGGAGGGAGGAAATGATGAAGAGGAGGAAGAGGGAAAGGAAACATTGGAAAGACGTGAGTCTCTGGTTTGCAGCAAGATGGATTCGGATATTATTGGGTAGTGCAGAGAAAGCAAACAGTAAGCTCTCAGAGATGATTATTGATTTAGAAGATGACTGTATTGTGCGTGTGGTGGCATTTTCTGAGGAAAACAAAGCCGGCAGAACCTGACAAGGGCTTTGTTTAAAACTCTCACAGCAGGCAGTCAAGCAAACAATAGAATACTGTATGAAATCCTTCTGTGTAGCATCTGAATAAAAGTCTTATTTACAGTACACCAGTAGGAGGGCATTTCTATTAGCCTGTTCCCTCCTCTTTGTCTGTCTCAATCCTAAGCAGATACACTGTCACTACAGAATGAGCCTCCTGGGTGTGGTATAGTAATAAGACAGGTAATAAACACAACAAACAAAACAAACACAAACACTGTCTGTGTACAGTAGCAGTGTGTGGTGTGTGTGTGTGTGTGTGTGTGTAGATGTGAATGGTGCCTTACTGTATCTATCCAGAATGAAACTGCTAATCCACCCCCACTTTTCCCTCTTTCCCTCGCTCTTCCCCCATTCTTCCCTCCCTCCCACCTTCCCTCCCTCCCTCCCTCGTTGCTGGAGGATGGGATGGAGGTGGGGGTGCACACCTAACTGCCCTGTTTTCAATTTTTCCTCGTTCCACCCTTCTTCCCCTCTGCCTCCCTTACAATCCCTCCTTCCTCCCTCTATCTGCCGTTGCTGGAGGATGGCGTGATGGTGTGTGTGTGTGTGTGTGTGTGTGTGTGTGTAGGATGAGGTGATGGTGTGTGGGGGGTGGAGGGTATAGGGGGGTATTATTAGAGCTGAATACATAATCATCTGCTCTTCTCCCCTTAATCCTGAGGGGATGAGAAAATAAAAGATTTAACACAGAGGAGCATAATATGGAAATGAACCCCTCCAGCATATTGCTTTTTTTTTGGGATAGACACTGACAGCTAGTGTGAGAAGTGCATTTTTGAAAAGCTTCAAGGTGGGAGTGTAAGATCAATCACTGCTTGCAAATAAATGGAGGAAGAAATAATTTTTTTTACGCCTTATATTCTATCCATTTCTCACGTCCTGCCTGCTGATTAGGTCTACTATTCTACAAACAGTGATCAAACACTAACTTAAATCTAGCTCCTCTCTCCGTATCATTGTGTGTCTGACTCCAGATGACTTAGATAATAATATATGTATTCACTAACTGTAAGTCGCTCTGGATAAGAGCGTCTGCTAAATGACTAAAATGTAAATGTTAGATACAGTGGGGGAAAAAAGTATTTAGTCAGCCACCAATTGTGCAAGTTCTCCCACTTAAAAAGATGAGAGAGGCCTGTAATTTTCATCATAGGTACACGTCAACTATGACAGTCAAAATGAGGAAAAAAAATCCAGAAAATCACATTGTAGGATTTTTTATGAATTTATTTGCAAATTATGGTGGAAAATAAGTATTTGGTCACCTACAAACAAGCAAGATTTCTGGCTCTCACAGAACTGTAACTTCTTCTTTAAGAGGCTCCTCTGTCCTCCACTCATTACCTGTATTAATGGCACCTGTTTGAACTTGTTATCAGTATAAAAGATACCTGTCCACAACCTCAAACAGTCACACTCCAAACTCCACTATGGCCAAGACCAAAGAGCTGTCAAAGGACACCAGAAACAAAATTGTAGACCTGCACCAGGCTGGGAAGACTGAATCTGCAATAGGTAAGCAGCTTGGTTTGAAGAAATCAACTGTGGGAGCAATTATTAGGAAATGGAAGACATACAAGACCACTGATAATCTCCCTCGATCTGGGGCTCCACACAAGATCTCACCCCGTGGGGTCAAAATGATCACAAGAACGGTGAGCAAAAATCCCAGAACCACACAGGGGGACCTAGTGAATGACCTGCAGAGAGCTGGGACCAAAGTAACAAAGCCTACCATCAGTAACACACTACGCCGCCAGGGACTCAAATCCTGCAGTGCCAGACGTGTCCCCCTGCTTAAGCCAGTACATGTCCAGGCCCGTCTGAAGTTTGCTAGAGTGCATTTGGATGATCCAGAAGAGGATTAGGAGAATGTCATATGGTCAGATGAAACCAAAATATAACTTTTTGGTAAAAACTCAACTCGTCGTGTTTGGAGGACAAAGAATGCTGAGTTGCATCCAAATAACACCATACCTACTGTGAAGCATGGGGGTGGAAACATCATGCTTTGGGGCTGTTTTTCTGCAAAGGGACCAGGACGACTGATCCGTGTAAAGGAAAGAATGAATGGGGCCATGTATCGTGAGATTTTGAGTGAAAACCTCCTTCCATCAGCAAGGGCATTGAAGATGAAACGTGGCTGGGTCTTTCAGCATGACAATGATCCCAAACACAACCGCCCGGGCAACGAAGGAGTGGCTTCGTAAGAAGCATTTCAAGGTCCTGGAGTGGCCTAGCCAGTCTCCAGATCTCAACCCCATAGAAAATCTTTGGAGGGAGTTGAAAGTCTGTGTTGCCCAGCGAGAGCCCAAACATCACTGCTCTAGAGGAGATCTGCATGGAGGAATGGTCCAAATACCACAACAGGTGTGAAAACCTTGTGAAGCTACAGAAAACGTTTGACCTGTGTCATTGCCAACAAGGGTATATAACAAAGTATTGAGAAACAAAGCCGGCAGAACCTGACAAGGCTTTGTTTAAAACTCTCCAGCAGCAGTAAGCAACAATAGAATACTGTGAAATCCTTCTGTGTAGCATCTGAATAAGTATTATTTACAGTACACCAGTAGGAGGGCATTTCTATTAGCCTGTTCCCTTCTCTTTGTCTGTCTCAATCCTAAGCAGATACACTGTCACTACAGAATGAGCCTCCTGGGTGTGGTATAGTAATAAGACAGGTAATAAACACATCAACAAAACAAACACAAACACTGTCTGTGTACAGTAGCAGTGTCTGTGTGTGTGTGTGTGTGTGTGTGTGTGTGTGTGTGGGTGTAGATGTGAATGGTGCCTTACTGTATCTATCCAGAATGAAACTGCTAATCCACCCCCACTTTTCCCTCCCTCCCTCCTCCCCTCCCTCCCTCCCTCCCTCCCTCCCTCCCTCCCCTCCCTCCCTCCCTCCCTCCCTCCCTCCCTCCCTCCCTCCCTCCCTCGTTGCTGGAGGATGGGATGGAGGTGGGGGTGCACACCTAACTGCCCTGTTTTCAATTTTTCTCGCTCCACCCTTCTTCCCCTCTGCCTCCCTTACAATCCCTCCTTCCTCCCTCTATCTGCCGTTGCTGGAGGATGGCGTGATGGTGTGTGTGTGTGTGTGTGTGTGTAGGATGGGGTGATGGTGTGTGGGGGGTGGAGGGTATAGGGGGGTATTATTAGAGCTGAATACATAATCATCTGCTCTTCTCCCCTTAATCCTGAGGGGATGAGAAAATAAAAGATTTAACACAGAGGAGCATAATATGGAAATTAACCCCTCCAGCATATTGCTTTTGTTTGGGATAGACACTGACAGCTCGTGTGAGAAGTGCATTTTTTAAAAGCTTCAAGGTGGGAGTGTAAGATCAATCACTGCTTGCAAATAAATGGAGGAAGAAATCATTTTTTTTACGCCTTATATTCTATCCATTTCTCACGTCCTGCCTGCTGATTAGGTCTACTATTCTACAAACAGGGATCAAACACTAACTTAACCCTCCCGTTGTCCTAGGGTCAAAATGACCCGCCACTGTGTTGAACCAACTTTATAAATTTTTTATATTTTTTTGATCATTTGTGAGAAGGAGGCAGTAATACTTTCTTTAAAGTCTCACTGCCTCCTTCTCACAAATGATCCCAAAAATATAAAAATTAAATAAATTTGGTTCAACACAGTGGCGGGTCATTTTGACCCTAGGACAACGGGAGGGTTAAATCTAGCTCCTCTCTCCGTATCATTGTGTGTCTGACTCCAGATGACTTAGATATGTCTGCAGCTGTTTAAACGGGCTGGAGGTGTCCACACAGACAGATGGGCCACATCAGTCTTCACTACCTTTCCAGGGCACCTCTCTGGCCGTTCATCTCAACGTGGGAGAAACAGGAAATTCTAGTCCAGGAGTCAGGGGCCAGTTTGTTCATGCTGTAGGTGTGTGGTCTCTGAATGAGAAAACTGTGGATGTTCTACAGGTTTTTCAGATTCAGTGAACAAAGTCGTTGTCATAGAAAGACTGAAGTAATTCAAGGACACAACATGAGCATAAGGAGAGGATCATAGTGTACCTTTAGGGTCGCTGGTTTGATTCCCCGAGCCGACTAGGTGAAAATTACTTAAACGTAAATGCCTACAGTACCAGTCAAGTTTGGACACACCTACTCATTCATGGGTTTTTCTTTATTTTTACTATCTTCTGTATACCCCCCCTACCTTGTCACAACACAACTGATTGGCTCAAACGCATTAAGATTAACTTTTAAGAAGGCACGCCTGTTAATTGAAATGCATTCCAGGTGACTACCTCATGAAGCTGGTTGAGAGAATGCCAAGAGTGTGCAAAGCTGTCATCAAGGCAAAGGGTGGCTATTTGAAGAATCTTAAATATAAAATATATTTTGATTTGTTTAACCTCTACGGGATCGGTGTCCCGTATACGGGATGGTTGAGCTAATGTGCGCTAATGTGATTAGCATGACTGTTGTAAGTAACAGCAAACTTTCCAGGACATAGACATGTCTTATATGGGCAGAAAGCTTAATTCTTGTTAATCTAACTGCACTGTCCAATTTGCAGTAGCTATTACAGTGAACAAATACCATGCTATTGTTTGAGGAGAGTGCACAACAACAAAAAACGTATCACGGCAACTGGTTTGATACATTCACCTCTGAAGGTAAATAATGTACTTACATTCAGTAATCTTGCTCTGATTTGTCATCCTGAGGGTCCCAGAGATAAAATGTAGCATCGTTTTGTTTGATAAATTCCATTTTTATATTCAAATGTAGGAACTGGGTTCTACAGTTTGAACCCTTGCTGTCTCTGGCTCCACACCCACCCATCTAGATGTGTGAAAGTTAGTGTATAAGCTAATGATCCATCATGTATGACATTCCTGGAAGTGTGTAAACTTACATTTTGTATTACCATATCATTTTTATATGTTCTCTATAGTTATGTACTTGATAATGTATCAATTGACCAATTCGGCACATTTGCGCAGACTTGATACAAAATAGTCCAGTAATGCAATGCTTCACTGGATCAATCTGAAACTTTGCACACACACTGCTGCCATCTAGTGGCCAAAATCTAAATTGCGCCTAAACTGCAATATTATATTGTGGCCTTTCTCTTGCATTTCAAAGATGATGAAAAAACCAAAAATTGAAAACGCATGTTTTTTTGTTTGTATTATCTTTTGCCAGATCTAAAGTGTTATATTCTCCTACATTAATTTCACATTTCCACAAACTTCAAAGTGTTTCGTTTCAAATGGTATCAATATGCATATCCTTGCTTCAGGTCCTAAGCTACAAGCAGTTAGATTTGGGTATGTCATTTTAGGCGAAAATTGAAAAAAAAAGGTTAACACTTTTGGTTACTACATGATTCCATATGTGTTATTTAATAGTTTTGATGTCTTCACTATTATTCTACAATGTAAAAAATAGTAAAAATAAAGAAAAACGCTTAAATGAGTAGGTGTGTCCAAACTTTTGACAGGTAGTGTATCCTGAACCCTCACAATAGAGTCCCACTGTGGAGGTGTCATAATACCCATAAAACCTAGTGGTCAAACAAGGAAATGGTTCCAATTGCTTTTCCCATAGGGGATTTTAGAAACACTTAAAATAAGGGCTGTGTTTCGTGTAGGCTTACTCTGGCGTGACGTTTTGATAAACATGAAAAACCTAAATCTCTCTCAGACAAGGTGACTTTTATCATATTTTGCATCTAACCCTAACCCTTTTCCCCACCTTAACCTAATTCTCCTAACCTGCTAAATACATTTTCCTAACCTGCTGCGTAAGTTGTCCTAACCTGCTACGAAAAGTCAAATCTGACAAAAGCTGTATCCTTTCTAGTCAAAACCCTCCTGAGGCACACCTTCCTTCTCCTTCTCCAGGCCAATCTCACCTTTGACCTCTCAGGTGGCAGCAGTCAAGCGCCCTCAGTCGTCACATTTCTGACAGCCTTTCAAGTGAAGGATGGATGGAGTGTTTTCAGCCAGGCAACCTGACCAGACGCCACAGACACACACCAAAGAGGCCCCAAGGGAGGAGCTACTGAACGTCAGCCTGGCCCGAAAAGATCAGAGCAGGAAGGGGATTCTGGGAAATTTCACAAGGCACTGCATATTTCAGACAGTCCAGCAGCAGGTCCCTGGCCCTGTAGTCCCCCAACACGGTTCTCTCTCCCAGTTTACACACACACACACACACCAGGGTTTCCGTTAGGAAAAGGTGGCGCCGGACATTTGACCGGCAACATTTTAATTTACCGGACATTTGAGAAATATACATCCCAACGATCTCGGATAGCACGGACCCAATTGAATCTCGACTTACGTAGTACGAGCAATGAGGGAAAAGTCGGAGGTTGTATTCGCTAGAAGTTTTTATTAAAAGTATGAATTTAATAAATAGGAAATAAATAGGTAAGTGTTTTCAGAATATAATGTTTACATACTGTTTTACCCACTTCATATGTAAACTCAGCAAAAAAAGAAACGTCCTCTCACTGTCAACTGCATTTATTTTCAGCAAACTTAACATGTGTGTGTGAGTGGAGAAGAAAATATCTGTGTTTGGGCCATCTGCCTGGCCTTGCTGTCATGACAGACCGGCAGGTTGACAGCATCATTTACTCATCAGTTCAAGGCCACTTCACCGACTGATGGATCACCCCCAGGCTGGGTGAGGGGGCTGGAGCTGTGTGGGCTCACTGGGCTGGGGCATAGGACTGGATGGGCTCACTGGGCTTGGGCTGGGGCTAGGGTGGGCTCACTGGGCTGAGGCTGGGGCTATGGTGGGCTCACTGGGCTGGGGCTGGGGTGCTGTGTGGGCTCACTGGGTTCAGTGGGCTGGGGGCGAGGGCGATGGGGAGGGTTCTGTTGTTCAGCCACTGGGGCCGTGTGTTTGCAAAGTTGTCACTGAACGGAGGCCCGTGAAAGGCAAGGGGTGGCCATTCCAGTTCTCACCACTCTAAACTAGAGAGAGGGAGGGAGGGGAAAAGGGAAGAAAGGAGGAGGGGGGGGTGCATGGGCAAGTTATAGGGCTGATGTTCAACCCCTATTACTAGCCTGTTCAACCTCTCTTTCGTAAAGTCTGAGATCCCCAGAGATTGGAAAGCTGCCGCGGTCATACCCCTCTTCAAAGGGGGTGACACTCTAGATCCAAACTGTTATAGACCTATATCCATCCTGCCCTGCCTTTCGAAAGTATTTGAAAGCCAAGTTAACAAACAGATCACCGACCATTTCGAATAATAATAATAATAATAATAATAATATGCCATTTAGCAGACGCTTTTATCCAAAGCGACTTACAGTCATGCGTGCATACATTTTTTTTGTGTATGGGTGGTCCCGGGGATCGAACCCACTACCTTGGCGTTACAAGCGCCGTGCTCTACCAGCTGAGCTACAGAATCCCACCATACCTTCTCCGCTATGCAATACGGTTTCCGAGCTGGTCATGGGTGCACCTCAGCCACGCTCAAGGTCCTAAACAATATTATAAACGCGATCGATAAAAGACAGTATTGGCAGCCGTCTTCATCGACCTGGCCAAGGCTTTCGACACTGTCAACCACTGCATTCTTATTGGCAGACTAAATAGCCTTGTTTTCTCTAATGACTGCCTCGCCTGGTTCACCTACTACTTCTCAGATAGAGTTCAATGTGTCAAATCGGAGGGCCTGTTGTCTGGACCTCTGGCCGTCTCTATGGGGGTGCCACAGGGTTCAATTCTTGGGCCGACTCTATTCTCTGTGTATATCAATGATGTCGCTCTTGCTGCTGGTGATGCTCGTATCCACCTCTATGCGGACGACACCATTTTGTATACATCTGGCCCTTCATTGGACACTGTGTTAACAAACCTCCAAACGAGCTTCAACGCCATATAACGCTCCTTCCGTAGCCTCCAACTGCTCTTAAACACTAGTAAAACTAAATGCATGCTCTTCAACCGAACGCTGCTTGCACCCGCCCACCCGACTAGAATCACTACTCTCGGCGGGTCTGACCTAGAGTATGTGGACAACTACAAATACCTAGGTGTCTGGTTAGACTGTAAACTCTCCTTCCAGACTCACATTAAGCATCTCCAATCAAAAGTTAGATCTAGAATCGGCTTCCTATTTTGCAACAAAGCCTCCTTCACTCATGCTGCCAAACATGCCCTCGTAAAACTGACTATCCTACCGATCCTTGACTTCGGCGATGTCATTTACAAAATAGCCTCCAACACTCTACTCAGCAAATTGGATGTAGTCTATCACAGTGCCATCCGTTTTGTCACCAAAGCCCCATATACTACCCACCATTGTGACCTGTACGTTCTTGTTGGCTGGCCCTCACTACATATTCGTCGCCAAACCCACTGGCTCCAGGTCATCTATAAATCACTACTAGGCAAATCCCTGTCTTATCTTAGCTCACTGGTCACCATAGCAACACCTACCCGTAGTCTGTGCTCCAGCAGGTATATCTCACTGGTAATCCCCAAAGCCAACACCTCCTTTGGCCGCCATTCCTTCCAGTTCTCTGCTGCCAATGACTGGAACGAACTGCAAAATCTCTGAAGCTGGAGACTCTGATCTCCCTCACTAACTTTAAGCATCAGTTGTCAGAGCACCTTACCGATCACTGCACCTGTACACAGCCTTTCTGAAATTAGCCCACCCAACTACCTCATCCCCATATTGTTATTTATTTTGCTAATTTGCACCTCAGTATCTCTATTTGCACATCATCTTTTGCACATCTATCATTCCAGTGTTAATACGAAATTGTAACTATTTTGCACTATGGCCTATTTATTGCCTTACCTCCATAACTTACTACATTCGCACACACTGTATATATATTTTCTGTTGTATTTTTGACTTTATGTTTTGTTTACCCCATATGTAACTCTGTGTTGTTGTTTTTATCGCACTGCTTTGCTTTATCTTGGCCAGGTCGCAGTTGTAAATGAGAACTTGTTCTCAACTGGCTTACCTGGTTAAATAAAGGTGAAAGAAAAAATACATAAAAAAATTAGAAGAACATCAAGTCCCTGCCCCTCCAAGTCAACCAACCAACATCCAGCACATATACGCACACACACACATGAGCACGTACAGACGCACATGTACGAGCACACACACACACACACACACACACACACAAAGTAAGTAGGTTCACCTTGGACCACCTGAAGTCCCTGGTCAAAACAATATAATCCTACTGTTATTTTTGCATTAGCTGCCAATCTGAACTTAATGTGACACCATTTTAGCTCACACAGAGTTCACACATGTCAGACTGTCACACACAGTGTGTAATTGGGTACAGTGTATAATTGGATACAGTGTGTGCTGCAGGGAGACAGTCTAAAGGGCAATGCACAGGAGAATTTGCATGTTTGATTATGTGTGTGTATGTATGCATGTGAATGTGTGTGCGTGTGTGCAAAATACGCAATCGATCACCTTGCTTTCTTATCCTATTCTCTCTTGCAGGTCAACAGCATGGGAGAGTGCTGTAGGGAACAATGTGGAGTATGTGCATATCTCTAGTGTTGTCCCTTTCATTTGCAGGAAAACATACGCACGCACCAGGGTTTCCGTTAGGAAAATGTGGCACCGGACAACGTGACCGGGAAGATTTTAATTTACTGGCTATTTGAGAAATTTACCGGACCCATATGCATTGGGTGCGTAACCCTTTGGCGTCCATCCACGGTGCTCAGGATGACAGAAATCACATTTAGATGTTGGTAATTAATCTGAACAGAACATGCAACTCCTGTAATGAAGCAGCCAATAAAACACTTGCCATAATGGAATTTGTGGGAAAACACCATTCTAAACAGCGCGCCTGATGAGAGCTGTTCCATATGTGACAAAGATGAAAATCTCTGTTAGAAACTTAGAAAGAAGGGGAATCTAAAGAGGCAAAAACTAGGATGGGTTGCTAATATGACTAGGATTGTGTCTTTGGCTTCTGGACAACTAAAGAAAGTTGATATGAAAACCAATAGAACAGCAGAGAAATGCCGATTTCAATGGTATATGAGGAAGCCTTTATAAAATAATTGCCTCCACGTTTCTATGGTTAGATTTTGCCTAAGCTACTTTAAAGCAAGGTAAGACATGGCTCATAATATGAAAAATGAGGTTTCAAACAATTAAGTATATGTTTTCAAAATGCATACTGCTTCCAGCTCACATTGCAAAGTAGTGGGTGGCGTGCTGATAGCCTGCCTACCGTTACACACACACACAAACACACACACACACACACACACACACACACACACACACACACACACACACACCCCGCTAGGGATGGTGGAATATTCTAATTAACATCTCACACTGCTAAGTAATCTTGCACAAAGGCAGGCCTCCAATATCAGATACAGGCTATCTATATCACAGCAGAAACAGTGAGCTGTAGGGGCATATCATTACCTCTGCCTTGCACCTGTAGGGAAGACTGGGGCCTGTTGAATGTGATTTTATATCCTTTCAATAATTCCTCCATAGGAAAGGAAAACAGCATGATCTGCTGTGATGACAACAGAAAATAAGAGCTACTTGGACTTGAACTAGGCTTGCTTTGCTCGCCCAACCAAGAGTGTGAGTTCTTTGAGCAATCCGACAAAGACTGTTCTGTAGAACTAAAATTGTAGTGCACCAGATAGAGACTTAAGATGTGCTGTAGGAATGTATCAGAATAGCAATGAGGTAAGCTACCAGCCTCGCACCCAAACACTTACCTCACAACAGTAAAACTCCGCACATACTGTAGTCCTACTAAGTAAGTTAGGATGCCACGTAAAGTTATGTTCCATAAATGACTGGGCTGGCTACATTTCTTGTTCGGCTAACTCAGTTTATGAGCCAATTAGCTAATGGTAGTGAAGGAACTCTGGCCTCCATACTTAACCAGTCCCAGTGTAGTGGGTGTGATGCAGAGACAGATGCAGAGCAGTGTCTGGTGGCGGTCTATCACTAGGCTGCCCTCTAACCCCTCTTCATCTCTCTTTCTCTTTCTCCCTCTCTCGCTCTCCATCACTCTCTTTCCCTACAACACAGTCTGCTTTAGCCATCCAACTCCAGCGCCTAATGTGCTCTCTCTCTCTGTCTGTCTTTCTCTCTCTCTCTTTCTCTCTCTCTCTCTCTCTGCCCCTCTCTCCTCTTCACCTCTGCCTGGCCCTCTCTCTTTCTCTGTGACTGTGACTGGTAGAGGAGAGCAGTGTGTCTGAGTGATGGTAGTGCCTAGGCCTCTCTCTCCCCCATGTACCACTAGGTCTAGAACACCTGCATCATTTACATGTACTTCACTGTCCCGCTTTATTGATTTTCTTGTGCATATGTAATGTAATCACTTCACCATCCTTCGCATTTATAAATATTAACACAAACAGATGGATTCTCACTCATGCAAAACACGACTGGTGTACAGCACTGAACTTATCATGTATAATAAACCTGTATATAAAACAGAATTTCTTTCATTTCCCACAGCCAGAAATAAATCAAACCTATAAATCTTTCAAAGGCTGACAGTTAAAATGTATGCATAATACGATCTCCCCTGTCTGCGTGAACAAATATAGGTATGCCTAATATATAATGAAATACTGTATATTCTTTGTGTTATGGGCTCTGGTCAAAAGTAGTGCACTATATAGGGAATAGCCACTGTGAAATCTTCAACAGGAAAACATCAAAACACATGCAGGACATTGATAGAATACCTTGAAAAGTAAGCGCACCAAATTCAGGAGAACCATCCAAGCATCCAGTAATCTGAGGTATTACTGAGCTATAACTCCTAGCTCTACCACATACCCTAGGCTATGTTTGGAGTCTACATGTTTACATGTTTGTAAGTCGCTCTGGATAAGAGCGTCTGCTAAATGACTTAAATGTAAATGTACTCTTTGACCTGAATGAGAAGCATTCTGACATTGGCCACCAGGCTGTCTGGCTCCGTGTTTAACGGTTCTGGGGAAACACTGGTGGTGACAACCACTCAGGACAATAAAACAGCAAAGCTGCAAATACAGTAGCAGACCTTAATCATTATCATTACACAGAGCCACCCTCCTAGACCTGGAGCCAGGCCAGTCCCAGCCCCATTACAACCCTCCCGTCTCTCCCTGCCTGCCTCAACCCGCCCGGCCACCACAATACTAAACACAATAACCTGGCCTCATCATCTCTCATATGGAGAATGTTAAATGACACAATAACCTGGCCGTGCCTTCTGTTCTGTTCCTGGAAATTCCACCAGACAGCCTTGGGAGCCGGTCCAGCAGTGAGTCGATAGATACCCTCGTAATGTAATGTTACAGCTCCATTTAAACAAGTCAGTGTATCTCTTGGCAGACATCTTTGCCAGCTGTTTCATTAACGCAGTAGATCAGATCAATCAAGAGAGAAATAATGGAGCGTTTGATTACGCCAATGACACTGCCAGCCATGCACATATGGGATGTAGCTTTGTTACAGTGGATAGATGGATGCATGAATGAATGGATATAGTGTTATTACAATACAGAATGAGTACAGTCCCTGTTACTGTCAGCACACAAGTCAATAGAACACATTTACTATATGTATCTCTATGGCTGTACGTTAACTCACGTGTTGTTGTTCCTAAGTTTGACGTGCCCTCCAGGCTCCAGGATCTGCCCGTTCTTCAGCCAGGTGAGCTGGGGCACAGGGTCGCCCTGCGCCTGGCAGGTGAAGATAGCAGTGGTGCCCACAGGCCGGGTGATGGACTGGGGAGGCTGCACAAACTCTGCTGGGGCTGTGGCAGATGCAGGGGAAACAAGGAAAGACAGATATTGAGCTACTTACAAACTGAATATCAAGTGCCTTGCTACATAGATACAGTAACTTGCTGACAGGGGCTTTCCCATTCCCCATACTATGCTGCACAACAACTATGTTTTTTCACCAGTGGTTTGAAAACATAAGCTACCAAGGTATTTTGAAAAAGAAGGAAGCTCCCAGAGCCTTCTAGAGAGAAGGGAAAGAGAGGAATGAAGGTGTATTATTCTGGGCCTAATCACATTTATCAGAACTAGATTGTGTGTGTGTGTGTGGGGGGGGAATTAGCGACAGAGTTTAGCAACAAAACGATTAGCTGAGGATCAGACTAACGTCATTAGAGCTGAGAAGAAGCAGATCTAGGAACCCAAAAAGAGAGGAGGAGGAGGAAGAGGAAGAGGAGGAGAGGGAACAGGGAATCTGTTCACAAACGGCAGACTACCTATTATAGAACACATAAACTGAGTAAAAGGCAATGCAGCGCAGATACAGTATCTTTCCCCAAAAAGCCTTTCAGTATTGCACACTACACAACTACTGACCTTCAGCCTCCAGCCAATGATCCATCCCTCAATCTCTCCCTCCCTAGGAGTCATTCTTTCCCTCCTCCCTGTGAGCTATGAGCCATGCTCCATTTGCTCTAATTGACACAGAGGTACAGGTAATGCAAATCTCTATTACCTCTTAATTAAACAGTGTTTAGTTTCGCCTCAAATTTGTGATTACGCTCCTCCCAGATCCGATCCGAGCTGTTGGTTGGTATTGCTGTTGCTATTTCTGTTGGCGTAATTATCTCCCCTCGTTATTCATCGCCTTATTAATAGCCGCATCAATATTGTCAACCATGATAAGATAACTTGAGTTATTTTCCTAATAATTAGACTGCAATTAGGGATCATCTAGTCGTAATTTACAATGAGATCCTTCCCACAATCAGCAACTATTTTCCCTCCCACTCTCACATCAGCAGGTTGATTTGCCTGTCAGCTAATCTTTCTATCTATCCTATCTTCCCGTAAACAAACCCTCCCCTTTCTAGTTCTAGTTATTTAGCATCCTCTATCTATCTAATTCTAATCTTAAGAGAAGAGGTGTTATGATGGTTTTCTAATCTCAGCTATCTCCATACTGTATGTCACCCTGTCAGTAAGGTGCTGGGACCTGAAATTCACACCATTCTAGGTACTGTGGTATGATGAGGATTAGGTTGGCTCTATCCTCCTGTCCATCACTCTCTCCATCTCCCCTTTTATCTCTCTATCTCCCTCTTCATCTCTCTCTCTCATCTCTCTCATCTCTCTCTGTTCCTTTTCATCTCTCTCTCTCCATCTCTCTCTGTTTTCTCTTTAGAGGCTGTGTGTATGTAAGGAGGGGCTGGAGGGAAGGGCTGGAGGGGGGCGGGGGGATGGTGGGTCAGGGAGAGTATTGATGTGCAATTGTGGTGTGGGTCTGATCAGCACGCTTTCCCCCATTCCCTCTCTATCTTTCTCTCTCCCTCTTTCAATCCCCTCCTCTCTCTCTATCCTTCTCTCTCTCCCTCTCCCCCTACTCTCTATTACTCTTCCCCAATCTCTCTTCTTCCCTCTCTCCCTCTCCTCCTAATCTCTCTCACTCTCTCTTATTCCTTCTCTCTCTCTCCCCACTCTCTCTTTTTCCATTACTCTCTCTCTCCCCTCACTCTCCCGCTCTGAGGTAAATGAAGGGTAGTGCAGTGAGCAGAGGGCCGCTGTGCCAACCATCTGGCCAGGAAGATCACATCAATTCTATTAAGCAACAGCCTACCTTACTCTGATCAAAACAGCTGTCCGGACGGCGGGAGGGAGTCGGCCGTATGCTGCTCCTCTATATAGTCACTGAGGCCTTATCACCATAACAACCCTCTCATAGCCAGACAGTCAGTCAGTCATATGCACCCCGACTGTGAAATACGTCCAGGAGGAGAACACTGTTGCCATGTGAATATGAAGCAATGCTTCTTCAAGGATTTAGCCTTTAGTTACTTATTCATCATAAAACACATGTATTGTACAGTATATCTCATCAGATCGTTAGCTGAGGGCGCTTTCTAGTTTTCACTGATTGATAAAGAAACCATAGACATTGACACATGGGCAGGCCCTTTGGCCGATAAGCATGTGAGGCAAACGCTGAATGCTTCCTACTCTGTGTCAGAAGGCCCTACCTGCACCCCTAACCACCTCCAATTGGTCAAATATAAGTAAGAAAATCACAAAGCGAATGAGACACACACACATTTGTTTTACTAACCTTGTGTGGACCTAAAATTGATTTCCATTCAAAATCACACACACACACACCAGTGGAGGCTGGTGGGAGGAGCTATTGGAGGACGGGTTCATTGTAATTGCTGGAATGGAATAAATGGAAAGGGATCAAACACATCAAACATATGGAAACCACATTTGACTCCGTTCCATTTTTAAATTCCAGCCATTACAATGAGCCCATCCTCCTATAGCTCCTCCCACCAGCCTCCACTGACACTGACACACACACACACACACACACACAAACACACACACTATACTGAGTGGGTGTGTAAGTAAAGGCTCACCTTGGACCACCAGACGTCCCTGAGCGGTTCTGCGTACACGGGTCCCTGGTTTGTTGGCAGCGCAGACGTAGACGCCAGAGTGCTGGACCCCGACATCTGTGATCATCAGGTTCCCTGTACCCAGCACCTGGATGCCCTCCACACCTATCGGACGGCCATCTGAGGAGACAGGGGAGAGGAGAGGGGAGGAGGAGAGGAGAGGAGGAGAGGAGAGGAGAGGAGAAGAGGGGAGGGGAGGGAATAGGAGAGGAGATGAAATGAGGGAAGGAATAGAGAGAGAGAGAGAAAGCGAGAGAGAGAGAAGAGGAGGAGAGGAGGGAGATAGCAAATTAGCTGAGTTAGCTTAGAATATAAAAAAATATGCCCTTTAAATATACACAAAAAGGCTATAAAAATACCAAGGGAGATTAATGATTGATTAAACATACACAAAAGAGTAAACGCTGGAGAAGAGGAGATGCTATTTTAGTTCTCCCCATACCGCTGAGAAACACATTTCACAGTAAATATCAGATCAGTTCTCACAAGTGTGACAGAGCACATCTTATGGGAATCACCATATTCAGTACAAAGGTGGCAAACGAGGCGAGTGTATTGGGCGAGGGCCAAGGCCACTCCGACACAGCAAGTGACGCAGAAGAACTATGTTGCCATGACTCCATTGTGTGTTAGTGTGTGTGATTGTATGTGTGTGTGAGGGGGTCTGTTTTACCTCCCCCGCCCCCTCCTCCCCACCCCGCTCTCTGACAGGCTAGTGACACACACACACCAGTTCAATCTCCCGGTTTGACAAAGCCCTCTACTGCCTCAGCCACACCATGCTTTAAACTGGGGAAATGCCCTCTGAGCAGGCAGAGCTACACAGATAAGCTAGGCTGCCACTCCCTCTGTCCCTCCATCAAATACCCTGTCCATATCGTCCTATTACAATGACCTGACCAAGGACCAAGAAAGACATGGCACAGCCGAAGATATTTTAGTCCCTCTTTATCTTTGTAACATCTGCGTCCTGTGTGTCCCGGCTTAGAGTGTTAAAGGGCTGTGCGGGGGACATGGCCACTATGCTAAAAGCCTGCAGAGACAGCAGACTGGCCATCCTCCTCTCCTCACATCCTCAGACAGATCGCTAGCAGACAGCTAGCCAGAGACTGGGGCCATATGGTCAGGTCCGGGCCTTTTATAGGAGGGCAACACACACGTCTCCTCTGTGAGCACTATGTGCATCTGAGCAGAACCACAACAAGGAAAGGGAGGGCCATTTGGAAACACTCCACAAACCTGGACCTCTACAAGACTGCACTGTGGGCTGAAGAGAAACAAGAGAATGGAAAAAGGTGCACAGTACATCCAGATTTCACCAGAATGCCTTCAAACAACAATATACAAACCTCAGCCCTTCTGTGTTCATGTAGCTGCAACAAACAGCACCAACAGTGGGCTGTAGGCTACAGTATTTTATTATTATTCAGACATATTTACAACCCAATTGAAACAGCTTAGTCAGCCAGTGGAGTTTCTTATCGACTGTAGTAGAAGCTATGGCTAGTAGAGTATAACTTAAACATGCTCCATGGTACTGTTAAGTACAAGCCTCAGGCTCTCAGCCCGACCCTCCCACTACCAGCCCAGTTCCATAAAGGGACTCAGCAAGGAGTGGCTAAACAACTGTGAAGCATATAATTGCCGTTATCAGCCCTCTACAATAAGCCTTACCCAAGTCGGGCTAGCTGCTGAGTGAAGTGTAAAATCAACACTCACTCACTCACTCACTCACTCACTCACTCACTCACTCACTCACTCACTCACTCACTCTCTCACTCTCTCACTCTCTCTCTCTCTCTCTCTCTCTCTCTCTCTCTCTCTCTCTCTCTCTCTCTCTCTCTCTCTCTCTCTCTCTCTCTCTCTCCTGAAATCCAGAGGCGTCATGCCCATAAGGGGAACAAGGGGACGTGCCCCCTCAGATTTCTCCTGTTTTTACATTTTTCAGATGTTAAATTAATTACTCAACTTAATTTTAAGCCCACTTCTTATCATCCTTATTTATTGAAAAATATCTGTCAGCAGTATTTTGCGGAGGGGACACCCTGACTATTCCCCCCCTCCCCCCTATTCTCTCTAGTAAGTGGTTCCTTCCAAGGTGCACCACAGAGCAAAGATATGCTACGTCAGCGGAGAAGGAGAGAGAGTGTCGAGTGACACACACAGTGTTTGATTTGATTTTAACTGCCGGTGATGAACAGGACTCGCAGGAGGAATGTTTGTAAATGAATTTGATCAAGCTATGTAGCCTATTGATTCCTTCTTGATTAATAAATAAAACAAAAATGTTTTGTTGTTTCTCTGTAATACTAGCCAACTAGCAATTTTATGAAGTTGGCTTTAGCTAGCCAGCTAAATATGTTCCCAATCTCCCAACCTCATAACTAGATACCAAGCCACTTCAGGCTATCAATCAAGTTAGAGTAGCTTGTCTAACTATCTTAGCTGGCACTTAGCTGGTTGCTAGACTTGAGAAAATACTAAAATAGCTTTAATTATTTGGTTATGATACTATATACCGGTGTGGCAGTTGTACTAAACTCCTAAGGCATAAAAGTTCTTAAAGCTGCAATATGTAACTTTTTGGGCAACCTGACCAAATTCACAAAGAAATGTGAGTAATATGTCTGTCATTCTCATCGAAAGCAAGTAAAAAGCGGTAGATCTGTTCTATGTGCGCTATTTCTATGCTTCCCTTTCTTAAGTTTCGTTTTTGCGACTTTTACTTTCAATTTTGTACAGCAGCTTCAAACAGCTGAAAATACAAAAATATATTTCACAGCGGTTTAGATTGTACAATTATTCTTTATACTATGCATTGCTTGTTTTGTCACATAAACTGAAATTGGGCGAACTAATTTTTTGCAACCAGGAAATGGCGGAGCGATTTCTGCATATTGCACCTTTAAAGAATCAATGTGCATCATTCATTAAAATGACAATTGAAAAGCTAAAGAGGTATGCTTAGATAACCTATGCAGAAAAATTAGGCATAATGATTATGGCTCTCTGGCAGGAAAAAGCTTTTTCAGGTGTTTGAAAAATCACCCCCCCCTCCATCCTCACGTACTACTTGCCCCCTCTAAAATAATGGTTGCATGACGCCCCTGCTGAAATCCCATTGTGTCAGCATTTAATTACAGCAACATTGTGTGAGGCAATATCCACAATCTGATTAAGGCTCCTCTCTGGTTGGGGAGAGGCTGCAATTTACATTTTGAACAGCAAATCAGATTGGATAATAGCTTTGAAAAACAAATATCAGATTGCAAAATTGGTAGTGGCAGACTTTGAGTGATGGCCAAGAGGAACGTGTGAAGCGGGGGGGACTGAATCCTGCCTGGGCTCAATCCTGTCTGTGTTTCACTTACTCACTTTAGAGGTTCATCTCTACCAGGAGAGTAAAGAATGCATTCATCAAAAAACAAAATTGTATTTAGGCCCCAAAGACTGATCAAGGCTGCAATCCCCTGCTTCATGTGTACATAAGATGAATGTTCTATTAGACATTACATAAAGGAACATACTACACGTATGTACACAATGCAGAGACGAGCTAACCCAGACACACATACATACATGCACACTTCAACAAAAACATAAACATCAACGCAACTGCGCGTGCGTACAAAAACACACACAAATACACACTGGACAGCAGGAGCCTACTTTATCACTGTGCTGTACCACATTAGAAGCAGTCACTGAACACTGCTTTTTTCCTCCATTAATTTATATCAAGGTCAGCAAGATAATGTCTGGTACATAGGCTTTCAACATTCCAAATAATTTGGAACCATCTGGGAAAAAATGGGCTCCATGCACGCTGTGAAGGCAGCAAGCCATGACCAATTTCACACGCAAAGCCGCTGTATCTTATTGTATCAAAATGTTCAGTTTAACAGAATGTCCTCTTCAATCTCTGTATTTTGCCTGTGTGCTTTATATAAATGTATATATAATTCAGCTATACTACTATGGTGACATGGTTTTTAAATCAGCTGCAATAGTGATGTATTTCAAGTCGGGTTTTCGGATGATTGCAAACTAGACAAGCAATCTAACATGGAACCTTTTGGAAGATAGAAGGGTTCTATAGCCCTCAAGGCCTGAGAGGCAGGGTGGTTTAACGCCTGTGCAGCACCCTGAAGGCTGCAGCTTTGATTTGATGTAAAAGAGAAAGCAGGGTTTTGGTCTTACCAAGCCTGCTCCATGACACGATGGGGCGGGGATATCCTGTGGCAACACATTCCAAGATGGCCGTCTGGTGAACGGTGAGAGTGAGGTTTTCAGGACCCACGAGGATCATGGGCTCTTTGTAAACAGAAGACTGGGAGCCTGCAAAAAAAAAGGGGGGGGGGGGGGATTGCAACATTTAATTGGATTTCACTGTTGTGCATTATCTCCAGCGTGAGCATCTTGGCGGTTAGGCTGTGTGAGATGATGCATATTTGTGCGGTGGGTGGATACCAAGGGAATGTGTGTGTGTATATATATATATGTATATATGAGTATTGAGACCTGAGACGGTGAGGCGAGCCCCGGCACTGTGCTTTACTCCTGCACTGTTGTGGGCCACACAGCAGAACACACCACCATCCTCCTGGCGCAGACCTGTGATCTGCAGGACACCAGTGGGGAGCAGGGTATACCTGACAGAGAGAAGGAATGGGAGGAGGGAGGGGGAGAGAGAGAGAGAGAGAGGGTAGGGGAGGGAGGGCAGAGGGAGAAAGGGAAAGAGAGAAAAAGGGAGAGGGGGGAGAAGAGAGAGATAGATAGAGGGAGGGAGAGAAAAAGAAAGAGGGAGTAGATAATTGTTTGCTTGATTAAGTGTGTTTACACACGCAACGTAAACTCCATTTAAAACAGCTAGACAGACACAAGGGAGGCTACAGCACACTGGATTCCAGGTGGTGTTGATCTGAGCTGAGTGAGGCTTGGCTGGGTAACAGTTAAGTGAAGGTTGTGAAGCTGCTACAGTGAATTTGTTTATCTCTATAGCTGTGAAATAAAGTTTGGACTGCTCGCTTCTAGATAGCCAGAGTTATGTGTGCAGGTACAGTAGTTGGTAGGCACAGCTGAGGTGATTAACACAGAGGAACCCTACCTCTCATCCTTAGTGTCCACGGAGCGGCCATCTTTCTCCCAGCTGATGGCAGGCTCAGGCAGGCCGTGAATCTGGCACTGGAACCGCCCCATGCCCGCCTCCTCCGCACGCACTGACCGCGGCTGGACATGGAACTCCGCCATCGCTGGAGAGAGAGGGGAGACGCAGCGGTCAATTCAATGTTTGAAAACCTACGCAACATTTTTCAGAGCATCTTTCACATAGGCCTACAGTAAATATTACTGCCATGTTCAGTAACAGTGTACTAGTGTCCTAAACTCAGTGGCACACCAACCCAGTTAATCATAACCAATTACCAGGGAGGTTTTACCTACAGTGTAAAAGTATTTTTATACCCATTCCCGCACTGGAAGGCAATTAACGTATTGGCAAAAAGGAAATAATGGCTCCATCTTTCAATGGAATGAGTCATAATCCAGTGGCTTTATCTAAAGAAACGCTGGGGGGCTCTTAACCTTGAGCAGACACATTGCAATGAAATGAACCAAATGAGCAGCGGAGCCGAGACTGTAGTCTGTCCAGGGCAGGGAGCTGCCATGTGATTAGGCAATTACCTGTGTTCTACTGTCAGCAATCACTGTGCAGGAAACCCTAGTGCTCATTACCCCTAGTTCCAGGGGAAAGCCTGTGTTTGGATAATCTGTCCCTCATCAGTGACACTGGAGTAAATGAAAGGTTCCTAGTTAGGCGCACTACTCAGACCGCTTCGGCTCATACGCTATGCTAACAAACACAGCTGGGCTCAGAGAGAGAGAGACCTCTGACTACAGCTCCGTGGGGGGGGGGGGGGGGGTTCATGGGTAAAGAATAAAGACTGAAGGGGGGCCAGTATGAAAAATAAACTAACTGTAAGTCGCTCTGGATAAGAGCGTCTGCTAAATTACTAAAATGTAAATGTAATGAACCACCGTAGTGAGTGCTCCATCAGGTGGGGTGAGACATTTTATAAACATACAGTAGGATTCTGCGGGAGAGTAATGACAGTGTGATGGCCAGGGTTGCAGATGTACTGTAATGCTGTGGCCAAACGACAGACAGTCAGCCAGACAGTCAGCCAGGCCCAGGCAGGCACTTCACTTCCTGAACTAGATAAATTAAGTCTAATTAGCCCCCTTACTGTGCCCAGTGATTAAACAGTATGGTCAAGAAGAGGAAGAGGACATTGATGTAGGGGAGGAAGGGGCCAGGTGGGAGAGGACAGTGATGTAGGGGAGGAAGGGGCCAGGTGGGAGAGGACAGTGATGTAGGGGAGGAAGGGGCCAGGTGGGAGAGGACAGTGATGTAGGGGAGGAAGGGGCCAGGTGGGAGAGGACAGTGATGTAGGGGAGGAAGGGGCCAGGTGGGAGAGGACAGTGATGTAGGGGAGGAAGGGGCCAGGTGGGAGAGGACAGTGATGTAGGGGAGGAAGGGGCATTTGAAATAATGTGCGCAGTTGTTCTCAGGGTGCTATTCTGTTTTAGACTAACAGCAACCTAGGCTAACAGCAGACTAGTTAACAGCAGACTAGGCTAACAGCAACCTAGGCTAACAGCAGACTAGGCTAACAGCAGACTAGGCTAACAGCAACCTAGGCTAACAGCAGACTAGGCTAACAGCAGACTAGGCTAACAGCAACCTAGGCTAACAGCAGACTAGGCTAATATCAGACTAGGCTAACATCAGACTAGGCTAACAGCAGCCTAAGCTTACAGCAGACTAGGCTTACAGCAGACTAGGATAACAGCAGACTAGGCTAACAGCAACCTAGGCTAACAGCAGACTAGGCTAACAGCAGACTAGGCTAACAGCAACCTAGGCTAACAGCAGACTAGGCTAACAGCAACCTAGGCTAACAGCAGACTAGGCTAACAGCAGACTAGGCTAACAGCAGACTAGGCTACAGCAGACTAGGCTAACAGCAGACTAGGCTAACAGCAGACTAGGCTAACAGCAGACTAGGCTAAACAGACTAGCAACCAAGGCTAACAGCAGACTAGGCTAATGAGCAACTAGGCTAACAGCAGACTAGGCTAACATCAGACTAGGCTAACATCAGACTAGGCTAACAGCAGCCTAGGCTAACAGCAGCCTAAGCTTACAGCAGACTAGGCTAACAGCAGACTAGGCTAACAGCAGCCTAGGCTAACAGCAGACTGGGCTAACAGTAGACTAGGCTAACAGTAGACTAGGCTAACAGCAACCTAGGCTAACAGCAGACTAGGCTAACAGCAGACTAGGCTAACATCAGACTAGGCTAACAGCAACTAGGCTAACAGCAACCTAGGCTAACAGCAGACTAGGCTAACAGCAACCTAGGCTAACAGCAGACTAGGCTAACAGCAGACTAGGCTAACAGCAACCTAGGCTAACAGCAGACTAGGCTAACAGCAGACTAGGCTAACATCAGACTAGGCTAACAGCAGCCTAGGCTAACAGCAGCCTAAGCTTACAGCAGACTAGGCTAACAGCAGACTAGGCTAACAGCAGACTAGGCTAATAGCAGCCTAAGCTAACAGTAGCCTACGCTAACAGCAGACTAGGCTAACAGCAGACTAGGCTAACAGCAGCAGTGAAAGAGAAGTCTGATGTTCACTATCATAGAACTGATTCTGTTAACAACAAAGTTTTCTGGTGAGTGTTTTGCATTGATCTGTGTCAGTCTTGTGGATCCTCTGTTGGTAGGTTAATCGCTATTTGAAAATAGCATACCGTTGTCAGGGCTAAATGCTCTATGATAGTAAAATGCCCTTTCATAGGATCACTTTGTGCATCCTCAGAACTGTAGACTACATTTACAGTGTTCAACTGTAAACAATGTACTGTCAAAGCCACGTGAGGTCTGAAGCAGCAATAGCTGATCTTCAAATGCGCCACTTAACGAAGACCACAATACAACCTTGCTTAATGGAGCTGACAGTCCAGTCCGGCTCACTCCAATTGTTAACACATACTGTATCAGTGTGAAGTAAACCTCACCAGAATGACAACACACATAGCCACAGTGAATTTGTTGATCTGGGCGATCTCGCTTCATACATGTAAAATAACAGAACATACTGTAGGTTTATGCTTCAAACAACGTAATCTCTGGAAGAGAACATGGCAGAATCCACAAAAACACCTGTGCAGATACATCCATAATGTGTTTTTCCTCATTCAGCAGCTGCATTTCACATATCAGCTCCCTGTGGAACAAAGCAGTGCTGTGGGCTTGGTGCTGTGGTGTGGGGGTGGGGCATGCAACACAAACTCAATTAGAGAGATGCCTGTCTTTTTCTCAGCTCTCCCACCATGTTCAAGACAAGTGCACTTATTTAAATGTCAACCGTAATTAACTTGGACCGAGCAGGACTTATCTGAACACTCTTAGCATAACAAGAGGCCTAGACCCCCTCCTTGCTCTCTTCCTCTGTTCTTTTTCAACTGGTACATTTATTTAAGCTAAGCTAGTACCCCGCGCGGCTCTACGGGATCCTACAGAAAGCTCGCTACGTCCGGAGAGGATCAGCATTCACACAGTCGTTTTTCTAGCGTCTTGTTTTTGTTAGCCCCAATTCCCCCGAAAAACAAAGGCGGAGGGAGGGAGTTAGTAAAAAGAGAAAAAAAGTCAGAACTGAAATTAGGCCCAGAGACGGAAAAACACGTCTCATTGATGGCCTTCTGGAAACGTGTAGGAGTGAGGAACAAGATGATGGCGAAGATGATGAAGTGGTGCTGGAGCACTGTAAGCACGTCATGCACTGTGTCGTCAATTAACATTTAATAAGTTGCGTTTAATTTTAAGCTCTACTGAGAAATGCTGCATTCCCTGTCAAGACTTGACCCTGAAGTCTCCAAATTGATGTATAGAGACCACAGTTGTGATTACAATTTGACCAAGCTTATTTAGAATTCCTCCAACCCTAACTACTTGCTCTTTAGAGGTTACAGACAATAAAGGACAGGAAGAAATAAAGCTACTGTAAAGCCCTACACATACTTTCAGTAGCCTAATATTTCTTAATTACCACCAGTACTAGAATGCTATTACTTTGCCTCTGACACTTACTCAGCCTGACAAATGTACTGTACAGGCAGCCAGCTTCTGTTTTGTTTTCCCATACACATTATACATTTAAACAGCACTTTTTTAACTGAGGCCATTTGAGGATTAGTGCCTCAAGGGCCCAACTATAATATCCCCATCTTGGACTAGCAACCTTGTGTTGCCATAAAGAGATTTGCCTAACCTACTCCATTATAGTGAATGGTGAAATGGCGATCTTCGTGGTCAATATTCATAGATATAAAAAAAAATATTGAACACAATCATGTTACCAATAAGGCTTTTATTTCATCAGATGTATGTACTTGAACCGATTACTTTAAAATCACACAGAGACGAAGTTAAAAGGATAATTTAGTTGCTAATGGAAGCCTGCAGTACCTCGGATGGCCCTCAATTTAAGAGGGAGCAGCACTAAGCTAGCCTGCAACGTCACTTCCTAGAGTAGCTCAAACTGCACATGCGCTGTTTCCAAAAAGGAATAAATACACAATGAGTAACGACAACTTGGCTATAAAAACGTGGGTATTATACAAATATAAATATAAGCAGTGGCCACTGTAATCTAGAGCACTATCAGACTGTACGAGTGTCAGCAGAGGCTCCTGTGTAGAGCATTGATTTAAGGGGAGACTAGAGGCAGTGTGGAGGTGGTGATACTGTACATATAGGTGTACTGGAACAGTCAGCCTAGGGAGCTTTGTGAACAGAACACCATGTACAGAAACAGGGAGAGACGACTGAGCACAGCACACATCACTGATGTGATTAAAGCAGCTCCCTTTCTTTTCACACATGCATACACAAGCCTGCACGCACACACGCATACACAAGCCTGCACGCACACACGCATACACAAGCCTGCACGCACACATGCATACACAAGCCTGCACGCACACACGCATACACCGATTACACACTGCTGTTTGTGCGCAGTCCATGGCCAACGCTGTCACGGGCACACAGAGGACACTGAGGCAAAAAGAGAGTGGGCATGAATGCTGAAGAACAAAGAGAATAAAGAGGGAAGATCACCTCCTTAAAGAGCTTTCTTTCTGTTGCATATGTGCCAAGTAGTCATCATGTCTGCTGAACTGGATGTTGTGTTTGTCCGCAGACACCGCCGCCCCCCAGAGGGTCCCTGCCCTCAGCCCTCATGCATAAAACATGGAGAGGCTGCACATAGCGAGAGAGAGAAAGAGGCCCACACCTCCGCTCTGCTCCACACCGCCTGCCGCCATCACAGGAACACAGCCTGCTACAAATCCACACTGACACACACACAGCCCGGGCACACAGAAACACATAGACGCAGCAGGTACTGTATACACAGAGAGAGAAACATACAGTTTTTATACACAACAGCAAAACACTGCTAGGGGGCGTAGTATAAATGTGGCTATATAAAACCCAAACACACACACAGGTTGATCAGCGATAAGTCAGTGTGGCAGAAGGCAGGCGGTAGCAGCTCCCCAGTCAGCAGTAGACTTGTTTTTATAACCCTTTTTATTATTCCTCATAGAGTGTTACTCTGGCAAGTGTTCAGAAACACTAAGACATTATTACAGATCGTCCGTTCCCAGCACGGAGCAGCAGTGTAAATTAAGCAGATCTAATTACGGGGATAGAAGGCTGAAAGAGGACAGAGATCCATCCATTAAGGAGTGCTGGGGGGAGAGGAACGTGATGCTTGGATCATCTCAGCCAGGGAGGGACTCCCCTCGCCCCTCAGATTCCTGGAAGAGCCCAAAGGGCTTTTTATGGCGTTCCACAAAATACCACAAAACCTGCTCAATGTCAAATGTGATCCACGAATTTCACACGGACTGATGGACACAGAGCCAGATCCAGACAGACAGACAGACAATAATAGACCAGATGGAGAGAGCTCTTGGGCTTGATTTGATTTAACATCCAAAACACATACTGGGGATTCATGTGACAACTACATGGACAGTAAAATATCAAATTCCACCTATATGATAAGGCACTTCACGGGTTACACAGTGTCTCTGTGATGTATGTTTCGCCTGGATTGGATGGGATGATTCATTGATATGTCAGAGTTAACGGTGCCAGAAGAGATACACACGTCGCTCCCCAGCACTCTCAAACCTCCAGCCTTCCATGTTGTGAGGCTCCAATGAACTCCCATGTTATAATGTTATTGCCCCCCAACACTCCCCACCTAACCCCCCCACCTCCACTCCCACCTCTCATCCATTCTACCCCCACCACCTCAAACCCTCTGGGCCCCCTCAGGCTCATGGGATCATCAGGCAGGGAGGGCACACGTTGTTCTAGCAATAAAACCTCTTGCTCCTCTCCTCCTCTCCTCCCAGTAAACCAGTATAATGGTAATGGTGACCATAAATAATGCAGATGGTATATGATGCAATTCCAGCATGGAGAGTCACCATGCTTTAAATAGGCAACCTGAAGTAGTATTTTCGGTGCAGGGACCCTAGAGATGTTTTATTGGCCCTAGACCCCCCTACCCTACACACCGGCCACCGCACCCATGTGATTAATCTGCTGGTCTGTGGCGCGTGTTGATCTCACCAGGGGGGGCCTTGTATTGATGCTCTATACTGTACTTTTTCTTCTCCTGGCACCCATTTTCTTCTTTTAACGCATTAGCCCATAAACAGTGGGACACGGCAGCTTCGGAGTAAGCCCACGCATCGCTCACCCTCACTGTCTCAGGGCTGGGGGCAGCCAGGCTCCTCCCATACACTTCGCAGTAGAGGAGAGGCTGAGGATGAAGACCCCGTGACACGCAATGTAGCGTACACACACACACACACCCCTATGATCTCAGCCCAAAGGTGCTGTCTGCATCTCATTCCAGGCTTCTGTATTTATCTAAGACTGGACCTTCTGATACTTATAGTCACCATGGTAATGACTTTCTTGTCTTACTGGCTAGAAGGAGAATCACTCCATGTGTTTTACTTATCTCATCCTGTCAGTTTACGGTACAGGGCCAATGTGAGTCACTGTCACCTCCCTGTCATTCAGATCAAGTACAACCCAGTTTTTCAGCGCAAGTAAAACCCATTTCCCTACAACATCTGTAATGTGTTTTACAATTGGATTTGGTTCCTCGCTGTATGTGGCTTGTCTGAACCGTGCTTCCTCTAGCCTCTTGACGGTGATGTACCTTATTGAGAGGCGCTGTCTGTCCTAAATAGAGTTATATTGATGGATTTGCTGGAGCGGGCGCAGTGCACACTATGCTAAATAAAGTTAGATGGATGGGTGTCATTAAACCTGTCATACAGGGACATGGCGCCGGCAGCAGCAGCGTCAGACACACTCACTACTGAGTTACGGCAGGGCCACCAAAACACACCAGATCTCCTCCCATAGACTCACTACTGAGTTACGGCAGGGCCACCAAAACACACCAGATCTCCTCCCATAGACCCTCATTATTGAGCAGGGAACTGGGAGACTGGGCTGGCCAGCTCTTAGCTATACAGAGAGAGAGAGTCTAGTCTATTCTAGTCTGTTTCAACTAGTCTATTTATCCGTAAGCACAACCAAATATGAGACGATTAGACCTCTTCATAAAAGACATCCCCAACAGCCACACAGACGCAAGGCCGTGGGTATACACACCAAAGGCTTTGTGTTTGTGTGTGAAGGGTTTGTGTGTCTTCATCCTTTTGTAGACGCTGTTGAACAGAAGAAGAGGCCAGCGATGTTGCTCTCTTGTTAAGGATCTCTGGTGTCATAGTTTCATGTGAACATAAAGGCATGGTGGTGACTGAAGGACAGAAAACGCACCGCCACAGAGCATGGGCTCCCCCAGCTAATTAGCGCATTATTGGGACTACATGTCTTTGAAAAGGACATATAAAGAAAGATAAGACCTTTTTCATATTGTAAACAGCAACTGTGGCTGAGGCCTCACAGCGCTCTGTGTTAGTATCCAGGGCTATACATTAGTAGCTGGAAGAGAAGAGGGGAAGATAGCGAGGTCATTAGGAGACAACCATAAAAGCTTTGTTCTGATGAAATGGAGCCAGCCAGAGAGGCTGATGGGAAAGCCCTGTCACTCATTATGTAACCTAACGTAGAAGGCGTAAAAAGACATCTGTTTTTCAGGGGAAATGGAAGTTAGGTTGAAAATACTGTATCCTTGAAAACTAGAAACAGCTGCTTTCTGCCGAGCCCATGGAGAGTGCTCATTACGTGATCTGCCTGTTGTAGTGAAGTGAGGCTGCTGGCCCCCCTAGCCCTCCCTGGCCTCTCCACCCATGGACAAAGAGTGGTGCGACCTCTGGGCCCCACAGCAACCCTGGCCCCAACCCTAAGAGAAGGAGGAGAACAGAGTGCTAGAGGGGGATAGAGTGAGAGAGCGCAGAGAGGTGAGATCTATGAGAAGTAGGATACGAGCTAGAGCCTATCTAGAGCGATAGCTCTGATATCCTCTCTCTCTCTCTCTCTCTCTCTCTCTCTCCTCTCTCTCTCTCTCTCTCTCTCTCCTAACACTGAGCCTCTCTACATACATAAGCATGCAGGCCTAATTAAAGTGGGGCCCATTAAACCACAACAGATGCTGAAAATTAAGAGATTATTTAAATGACTGCTACAGAAAGGACAGGGGAGGGGAGGAGAAAAGCGAAGGAGGTAGAAAAAAAGGAAAAAAGAAGGACAGAAAGAAAATAGACGGGCGTACCATTACAAATTATTTAGCAGTGTTTTTCCGCTGTTGATGCAGTCCTTGTTAATATTTTGTGCATAAAAGAAAAAACATTAGTAGATGTTTAGGGGCACTGTTGTGCAAAATGCAACAAAGGCGAGCCTTGATGTGTGAGAATAAAATAACCCAGAGAGGGCCGTTTGTTTTAATAATTGATTGGCCAGAGATATGCATGCTCATTAAGTCACTTCAAACAATGTAGTTATTAATCACACAGAGCCCATATGAGTGGCAGAGACAAACATGCCTAGACTGGGCTGCGACACCCCTCACTGTGGCCCAGCTCTGGCTGTGTGAGTGTTTGTGTGTGTGGCGACTGGAGCCCCTGGGTTCCCAGGCTGAATCCCCTCACCCTGCCTGTCATCCACAACACAGAACAGTACGGCAGAACAGAACACATCAGAATACAACAGAGTAGACCAGAGTAGAGGCTAAATTTTTACATTTACATTTACGTCATTTAGCAGACGCTCTTATCCAGAGCGACTTACAAATTGGTGCATTCACCTTACAACCAGTAGTACAACCACTTTACATTGTTTTTTATTTTTATTTTTTATTTTTTAGGGGTGGGGGTGGGTGGGTTGGGGTAAGGGGGGGGGTAGAAGGATTACTTTATCCTATCCCAGGTGGCACCTCTCTCTAGCTCTCAGATAACTAGGCCACTGACACTCAATTAATATCTTAATATCTCTTTGCATCACACAAGGCCTCACCTCCCCACCCTGGCTTTAGAGGAACTCTCTTCATTCCACTGTGGAACACAGGGGAGAACAGAGAGACGTGTTTGTATTCACAATCTGGCTTCGTAACTAAATAAATCACGCGGTTACCCTGTGAATGCCTCGGTGCAGTGACAGAGAGGAGATGCATCTTTCAGAAAATATAAAAGTCCTCCAACAAAGTTAGGAACTTCCTAGTTCTGTTGGGAGTGTTTATAGGGCAGCTTTGTGGTCACAACACCTCTGTCAGTTGGGTTAACACCGCCACCTATTGAGGTGGTGTGGGACAATGACACACTTTACTGTCACTGTAGCTACACCACAAACGTTTCTTTCCACGGACTGTAGCCTAAACTGGGACACAACTCGGCCCATTCAAAGCCTATTATCCTGGGCCTGTATGTAAAAAAAATAACCAAGAGGGCTTTCAGCTGGGACACACAGGCAACACTAGTTTAGTCCCATTCTATTGGGGCCTGGAATTCTCCACTTGAAAGAACCTGATCTCCTCTTAACCTGCCCCCTCTCAGTGTGGCCCCCCTGCCAAATGACCCCCTCATTAAAGGCTTTGCACTGGGGATGGCTCCGGATGCAGCATGCGATCTGGCTTTGATGGCCCACAAGTCTCATCGGCTTGTCATTTCAAATCACCTTCTCCCTCTCAGCAACAACATTGGTGCTGTGGAGAGGTACTCTCTGGTGTTAATTGGGTTTTCCCGGGACAGAATATGGCTGGAGCACGGCGAGGTACGGCTAGGCTGGGGTTCGCCGCACCAGGAATCATTGAAGTAGCAGAGAGAGAAACACACCCTGGCCGAGCGACACAGAGCACAGTGAGCTGAAACACTACAGCGTCCCTCCGAGAGAGAAAACCACAGAGAGGCGGAGGGAGGGGAAATGGGGTGGGGGGAGATGGAGAAAAAAGAGGAGAGTAAGGGGGAGGAGGAGGGGGAGAAGGAGGGCAGTGAGCGAACGAGGTGGAGAGGAAAGAGAGAGGGAGAAGGAAGAGAGGAAGGGCTAACGAGGGAAGTAGAGGGAATGGGAATGTACGTACAGAGGGGGACACAGTGGATGAGGTGGAGAGGGAAACCTATTCTGCCCTGAACAGATTGCAAAGGCTGATGAAAGACAAACATTTTCACATTGAATTGCAATTTAATTACGCCACTATTATGCACATCCATGTCTTCAGGTTGGCCTTTTCACAGTTTTAATAATCAAATCACGCATCCCCCTCGTAAAACAATAGGCTCAATAAACCATCCATCTCACTCAACCGTCAAAGCCATTTTCACTTAGTTCCTCTCATCATTATGTACAGTACATTATATTTCCCCATCATGTAGTCCATACTACAGTCATCTACCTCTGGGACGACAGGCAGTCATTCATTCACAGGGGGGCTGTACAGAGCCATACCTAATGTACCTTAAAATAGATTTCCACTATCTCGTCTTATGGACAGAAGATATTTTCAGCACCTGATTGTTGGTGGAGAGAGACTATACATCCACGCTGACATTCTCCCGTTGCCTAGGGCCACATATCTAATCAATATCACCAATAGCAGTTGAAGCAACTGGCTGTTATAAATTAAATGAGATGCGCTCTCTCTCTCACGCTCTCTCTCTCTCTCTCTCTCTCTCTCTCATCCTCCTGTCATTTAATTCACCACCTCGCCAAGCAAACTTTTCTGTTTTTTTCCAGTAAGGAAAAAACCTGCCTCTTAAAGTGCAGTTTTTCTTATTTTCCTTGTGTGTGTAGTTTGAAATATCGAAAACGCTTACAGACATCTGGGGTGAAATACCATTTATATTCAAATGGAAATGCCATTAGATCATTCCTTGGCTTGTTTTCTCCTTGTCGTTTTGTCACCCCAGAAATTAAAAAGATGAATTCGGTGCTGGCTATACAGGCCCAGTTTTGAATAACAAAGTGGATGGACATTTGGCATCACAATCCTCCCCAGCCAAAGAGACATTACTTCCCCCTCATTAGAGAGTAACTGTTGAGGGCCATTCTTTCATAGGGCCACAGACGGGATAAATCTCTGATTCTCTTACACTCAATGTTCATGGTCACCAGATCAGCCTTAACACTAGTCTATTTTCACACATTGGCAGTGGAAGTTTATAAAATAAACTTTATAAAATAGGAGTGAGATACCCTACCGTATGTATGAGAGTTTGTGTCATAGAGTTGTTCCAGTGTTGTGGTGGCAGTGAACTTGACAGTGGGCCGGGGACGGCAGGTCGGTGTGAGGAGGGAGTGTGAACAGGAGGTGACGGATGGCCCCACATCTGGCACTCCCACGTCCCCTATGAAAGGAGTCTTGGCCTGGGCGGGACAGCCCCAGTGCGCTCCACTGCACTTCACAGGACCCTGCATATTTGGGACCCCAACATGGTGGCGTAAATCACTGCCCCCCACCAACTCACATGCACGCCCACCGTGACACACACACACACACATATGCTTGCGCTAAACCACACACACACACACACACACACACACACACACACACAAATATGTGCTTGTGCACAAACACAATAGACGGTACCATTACGAATCTAAAGCTCTCTATGAGAGGGGAGGTCCACTGCTTCCCCCGTGAGTGACAACTGGCCAAATGTGGGCAGTAGCCATGTGTCATTGTCACCGTCACTGTTAGGGAGAGTCATACCCCAGCACCCAACGAGCATGAAGATGTAATATATTCTGGCTCATACTCTCCCTGCCTTCACCATCTGTTAGTGGAGCCATCCACATGGTTCATATGTTGGATGGAACCGCCACACAGACCAGACAGTGATGCAATCAGCCAGCTAAACAGGGTATACCTAATGCATGACTTGAAGTGTTGTTGTGGTGTAGTGACTAATGGCCATCACCCTGGACGGCACTCTGTGATGAGACCAGAGAAAATCACAGAGATAACTTACGGTTCATGGGAGAATAGTTTGTTTCTGTTTTTCTCCCTCTCTCCTCCAACCCTAGCCATACTGCCCCTACCCAGACGGTCATGCGCCGTCACAATCTTCGCTCTCTCTCTCCCACTACTCTCTCCTCTTCTATCCTATCATCTCTCCCTTCCCGCCTGCTCTATGGCTGAGAAACCCACTGCATGCTCACAGAACAGGGATGTGGACAGCTGAGGAAAAATGGAGGAAAACGTATCTTCCGTAGGAAATTCCTACACTCCCTCCTGTCTACCTTCTCTTCCTCTGTATCCGCTGCTAAAGCTGCTTTCTATCACTCTAAATTCGAAGCCTCTATCCTCCAACCCTGGGAAACTCTTTTTCACCTTCTCCTCCCTTCAATCCTCCACCTCTTCCCCCTCCCTCTTCCCTCTCTGCAGACGACTTTGTAAACCACTTTGAAAAAAAGGTTGAAGACATCCTCTCCTCATTCGCTCAGCCTATAGAGTCCACTGGTCCTACTCACACAGAACTACCCTACGCCTTGACCTCTGTCTCCCCTCTCTCTCCAGATGAAATCGTGCGACTAGTGATGCCCACTCGACCCCATCTCCTCTTCCTTTCACCAGACTATCTCTGGAGACCTCCCATTCTTCACTTCCCTCATCAACTCATCCCTGACCACTGGTTGCGTCCCCTCTGACTTCAAGATGGCCAGGGTCGCTCCCCTCCTCAAGAAACCAACACTACAGGCCGGTATCCCTTCTTTCTTTTCTTTCCAAAACACTTGAGCGTGCTGTCTCTGACCAACTCTCTAGTTATTGCTCTCAGAACGATCTTCTTGACCCTAACCAGTCAGGCTTCAAGACGGGTCACTCAACTGAGACTGCTCTCCTCTGTGTCATGGAGGCTCTCCGCACTGCCAAAGCTGACTCTCTCCTCTGTTCTCATCCTCCTAGATCTATCTGCTGCCTTCGACACCGTGAACTATCCGTGAACCCTCCTCTCCACCCTCTCAGGGTTGGACGTCTCAGGATGTGCATAGTTCCTAATCTAGGCACTTGTCATATCCCGTCTGGACTACTGCAACTCTCTGTCGGCTGGGCTCCCACCCCTGCAGCCCGTTTGGTGTTCAACCTTCCCAAGTTCTCCCATGTCAACCCGCTCCTCTGTACTCTCCACTGGATTCCAGTCGAGACCATGGTCGCATCCACTACAAGACCATGGTGTTTGCCTACGGAGCAGCAAGGGGAACTGCCCCTCCCTACCTTCAGGCCTACACCCCAACCCGGGCACTCAGCTCTGCCACCTTTGGTCTCTTGGTCTCCCACCCCTTCTCTGTCCTGGCACCCCAATGGTGGAACCAGTTTCCCACTGATGCTAGGACAGAAGAGTCCTTGCCCATCTTCTGAAAACATCTGAAACCCTACCTCTTCAAAGAGCATCTTAAAGAAGACATCTCAGTCTTATCCCCCCCCCCCCACCCCCCCAGCGTTGACTTTGCTGATAACTTCTTTATTGAGGAAAAATGTACTCAATACGACTGTGATATGTGGTTGTCTCACCTAGCTATCATAAGATGAATGCACTAACTGAAAGTGGCTCTGTATAAGAGCATCTGCTAAATGACTAAAATGTAAACGTAATATGTAGATTAGGTGCTGTGTTGTGCTGGTTCCTGTCAATGTTAAAGCAGAGCTTCACAGAGAGAGGCCCTGCCTGCCTCACAGCCACAATTTATTTCCCCCCTGCACTGATTAAACTCTTCATCCATATTCATGGCTGCCCTCTGCTCTGAGACGAGTCCGGGAGAAGATGAAGGGATTAATGAAGGAGTGACCGAGGCAGGAGAAAGAACGAGCAGAGGGAGAGAAAAAAACTGGGGAACTTATACATTTCACATACCTGTATAAAAACGATTTCTTGTCAACTCACAACCCTTGTCAACCCACAACCCAAGTAGGAGGGAAAGCATTATGTAGGTCTTGTCAACCCACAACCCAAGCAGGAGGGAAAGCATTATGTAGGTCTTGTCAACCCACAACCCAAGCAGGAGGGAAAGCATTATGTAGGCACTGCACTTGAAGTGGCTCATTTCATATTGAGTGATGTTGTTAAAAAACACAGATGCAGGAATTTAGACTCCCTTCCACTGCCAGCTACAGCTCTCTGTCCCCATGACTCAAAGATACGCCACCAGGGTTTGGTAAAAAGCATGTGCTGACTCGTTGCCCCGGTGACCATCTGAAATAGGCAGGGAAGATGGCAGAGCCCCAGTAGTTACCATTGTGCTGTTTACTGGCAGGCCAGGCTGGCTCCCTGGCTGTCTGTAATACATCACTGTGTGTGGAGCACATGCCTGCCATCCACACTCCACATCTGCACTGGATACAGAACTCTTCCAAATCCTCTTTTAGGTGTCCTTTGTTGTGTGGGTGAATTTAAGCATTCTTAATTGTGCGTTCTCTCTCTCTACCTGCTCACTCTCTCTCTCTCTCTCTCTCTCTCTCTCTCTCTCTCTCTCTCTCACCCGTTCTCCCTCTACCCACTCTCTCTTGCTCTTTTGAAAGGATGGACAAGTAATTATGGATTTTAAATGAAAACCACCACATTGATCGAACATGAATGGGCTCCCACATCAAATACACATTTTTTCCCATCCCTCTGTATTTACCTAAATGCTGATAAAAGCAAGGATGCTCCATTAAGGGGATGGATTTGTGTAGAAATACACAAACAAGAATCCATCTGTTCCAAACATAAAAGCAAAGGGAAGAGGCTGAGTGAATAGCTCATAAAACAGTGTGATCGATGCGCTCAGGATATCCATATATTTCCATTATCCATTATGAAGCTCAAATCAGAGCTTGTTTGCAAGGTTCTTAGAGAACCAGGTGCACAGCCATTCCAAGGAAATTAGCCATGTTACCTTAGAGACAAGGTGACATACAGTCACTCTCGCACCGAGCCTAAAACACATACTGTATGCAGTATAAGGCATGATAGCATTTACACGTGCACATGGAAGCGCACACACATGCACTCACTGACTCACACATGCGCGCAAAGGAGCGCACACACACACACATACACACACGCAGACCCCTCCCTGCTCCGTCAACTCTACTGACAGCAGTAATGAGTTTCTTCTCCTTTCTCCCTTGCGTAAGCCAACTGGCACCCACTCAAGGGAATTTTTCAGGCTGAATTGCGGCCATTAATCACAATCTAGGGCAAGACCGTGCCATCATGTGTATGGCAAGCAGAGATGCGTTTACGGGGAGGGGCAATGAGAATACAAGACAGAGGGGGAGCGGGCGTGCAAGAGACAGGGAGGAGGAGGGAGGGAGAAATAGAGAGAGAGAGAGAGAGAGAGAGAGCGAACGAGAAGGAGTAGGAGAGAGAGAAAAGATTGTGGTACAGTAATGTGGCTTAATTCACCAAAATGACCTCACTGGTAAATCCTGTGTGGTTATTACAGTACAGTGTCTGGGTATTCCTCCTCCTTCGCTGACAGTTACTGGGAGGAGCCCCCGCTGCATCAATCACAGCCAAAAAGCCAGACAGATAGTGAGTGAGAAGGAGAGGCTATTCCTGACTTCAGCAAGCAACAGCACCCCCAAAATACAAACCACAGCACTACAACTCCAGCACACACACACACACACACAACACACAACACACACACACAACACACACACAACACACAAACACACACAACACACAAACACACACACACACACAAACAACACACACACACCTTGGCGCTGAATAATGATCTTAAATGCATATATTAGGGAGTGTGCCCCGGGGATAAATAAAGAGATAAGATTCCCACTGCGCCAAAGGCAACAGCAACACACTTGATAAAGCAGCAAGCTAGCGTGTAGTATGTAGTATGTAGTGTATGTCTATGATGGAGGGAAGGAAGGACAGACAGCCAGGAGACAGAAAGCAGAGCAGAGCAGGAGTGTCTCTACCTCATCATCACTCTATATATGAGCTAGCGAGTTAGCAAGCCAGCCAACCGGCGACCATCTTTAAATCTGGTTCTTTGTGACACAGAGATGTTGTCAACATGGTGTCCTGCATCATGTCCTCTATCATAAGACAGCTGGCAGTTTTCTTCCCTCCATTCTTCCTTTCCCTTCTTGTTCTCCAGCGAGCCCTCAAGCTGCCAGCTGACCGTGTTCACCAGGGAAATCAGCCCTCCCGTTGATCAGCAGACCCCGCCCCTCCAAAGCAGGCTAATCCATATGAATTCATGTTAATATGAAGCCTTTGCCTTTCTCTCTCTCTCAGTGTGTGTCGTTTCACCACACACACACACACACACACACACAACCAGACCCTCAGTGTGGGTTCCAGGCCTACACCAGCACCATGCCATACACTGACAGCAGGAGGCACGGGAGGAACATCAATAGAGAATGATAAATATAGGCCCTGTCACAATCACTTAGTGTTCAACCTGGGTAAGATACAAAAGCCTGTTCCTCCACATTCTCCTCCTCCGACCACAGATAAAAACAGACGAAGGTGACATGTTTATTTGTTATTTGTTTCATTGTAAGGTTTTCATGGTTTTATGAAATGTTGCTATTTCAGTCGTACAGTAAGTGGACCACCACAGCTTTTACTTTCTGTCCATTAGAGAAACTATCATAGACTGAATTGAACATTAACGTTCATTAAGATTATAAGGGATTTACAGTTAGGAAAAAGCAAACAGTTCTTTGAATAGGCTATAAGTCCCACTCAGTGAACCTGGGTCTTAAACAAATCCGACCCGTAAACATCTGTCCCTAGTAATTGTCAAAAGTAGCCATTTAAAACGGGCCACTTCAATCTCCTAATGTCCCTCTGAAGCCTGGATTAAATGGGATTAGTTTCATTGTGACTCTACAACCAGCTCCCTTTGGCTATGTGGTTACAGTCGAGAGGGGTGTTTTCACTTGAGTTCACTGTTGAACACAGTTTCCATCAAACCCACATACCACACTCCTCTCCAGCTGGTCCTAACACGCCTGGTCTAGTTCTCTCTGCCCTTACCTTCAGTTTGGTCAGCTCTCTTCAACATTTCACATTTCAGCTCCACGTAAGGTAAGACGTCAAACATGTGAGGTGTGTGAAACATACACAAACACACACACACACACATATTCCCTCCTTCTCCTGCTTAGCAATGCCCATGGCCTCATGGTGAGGACTAAATCAAGGCTAAGCTAGCTAGCAGAGAGACAAAGTACCAGTGAAATGACAGAGCAGAGCACACAACCAGCCTGTCTCTCCTCTACCTACCAGGCTGAGGCTCCAGACCATACCTGTATTGACCCCACGTCTTCCTCCCAGTGATGGGTATAAAAATAACACATGCCATTTAGCAGACACTTTTATCCAAAGCATTTTACATATGGGTGGTCCTGGGAATCGAACCCATTAACCTGACGTAGCAAGGGCCATGCTCTACTAACTGAGCTACAGAGGACCACAAAATACACAATTGTTAGTCTTAGCTACGGAGAGGGACGGGAGCAATCCCCCTGCAACTGCATTTTCATTCTCAAATGATGCCTCAGCGGGCAAATAGAGTAGTCTATTACACTGTGGGGTTGTTCTATCTCTTGGCAGTGCTGCCGATAAAAGAGTCGACTTTATGACTTACTAACACACTTTAATATCGCGTTTATAAATAAAAAAGCAGAAGACACATACATAAATATGATGAAGGCCTCTGGTTGGGAGGTGGCTATAAATTCTTTATGTGATAGCAAAACTGAACATATCCCAACCTCTGTGGTCCTCTGTAGCTCAATTGGTAGAGCATGGCGCTTGTAACGCCAGGGTAGTGGGTTCGATCCCCGGGACCACCCATACGTAAACATGTATGCGCTTTTGATAAAAGTGTCTGCTAAATGGCATATTATTATTATTATATTATTAACCCCCGGCACAGAAGGAAACCACAAGAGGCACAGAATGTGACATAGAATCCCCAGGTCCCTGTTAACCTATATTTGACATACATACCAAGCGCATATTAAGTACATTAAAAAGGTCATAATGACATCTATCATCTACAGCAGAGGGAATGTACATTACACTGTTACACTGTTGGAGTCAACTGCTAATGTGTCTGAGGAAAGAGAGAAAGAGCGCGAGAGAGAGAGTGAGAGACAGAGAGTGAGAGAGAGAGAATTTAACTGAGAGAGAGAGAGAGAGAGAGAGAGAGAGAGAGAGAGAGACATAGAGAGTGTGCCATGTTCATGTGTTTGACTTTAACTGTGAGTGTACTATATACCGGTAAGTCTACGTGAAGGTTAGTGTGAGTGTGTAATCTAAGGCCACAGAGGGGCAGGCATGTTGTGTTCTAACTGCAGAAGCATGCTCATTCAGCTGCGGGTAGCTGGGTCTCTCTCTCTCTCTCTCTCTCTCTCTCTCTCTCTCTCTCTCTCTCTCTCTCTCTCTCTCTCTCTCTCTCTCTCATCCTGCCTGCTTCATGTGGAAGGCTGCCGTTAAAACAAAGCTGGCGGGGTCACAAGGTCTCAGCACCACATTGGAATGGAATGTTCCTTCCTGGTTCAAGGTCCAACCTCCAGAGCCAGAGGGGCCCGGAGATCATTTGAGACCACCAATACTTTAGTAACATTTTACTCACTCCTTCCGCTTTCATCTTCTTTCAGCCTGTTTTACTCAAGGCTGTTTATTTGACTGTGGCTATTCAGAACTACTCTGTTGTTCAAATCACCGTTGTCATGTTACCTACAGTACAGCACGTTACGTTATATTACTGTCAGGTAAATTCCTTGCTTGACAGGCAGGCAATTAGATGAAACCCCAAAAAACTGTATCCAAACATACACACTTAGAGGAGGGATGGGATCTGGAAGCTGAATGATATAGAAGCCCCAGAGTACCCACAAACACATTGGGCCAGTGGTAATGGATCAAATCAAATCAAAGGTCGCATACACAGATTTGCAGGTGTTATAGCAGGTGCAGCGAAACGCTTATGTTAGTAGCGCCAACAGTGCAGTAGAATGTTTCACAAATACAATACAAATACACAAATAATAAAACATCTAAACAAGAAATTCAAGAAATGACAGAACGAGTCCAATTAACAATCCAGAGTAGATATATTAGAGTGAACAGGTGTCAGAATCCAGAATATAAATATGTAGTGTGTATAGACAGTATATCATTTGGAAGGAAATTGGTATGTACAGTAGTAGGTATATTAGGATGAGCTATGTGGAGAAAACAGTATTTGCACAGTACTGACACGTACAGTATAATGTAGTATATGAAAGCAGGGGCTAGTGGTGCCCTTTTACCCAAAATCTCTCGCTCCACTCGCATTCCAACCTAGAAACTTCATCTAATTGGTTCTTGTGGAATTCCATTCCAGACCCAAGTGACCTGATCCACACACAACAGTCTAACTGGCTTTTTAACCCTGTCCAATTCAGCTGCATTGTCCCTGTGTGCCAGAGGACCCAAAGAGAGAAAAGGGAAATCCCTGGCTCGCTCTCTCTCCCCATCCGCTCCTACCTTCTAGTCAGCTTAAGAGAGAGTTTCCGCTCTAAACATTCTGATCTCACAGAATACAGCTAGCAACTGTACTGAGGAAGCAAAGATGTTGCATTTCATTTCAGACTCTCCTTCATAAAGACGGTGGAAGTAATCAACATAAAACCAGATAGATATGGATACAATTTGAAGTTCTGCCCTGATCAAACACAACTGCTAAAATGTTCTAACTGGCTCTGATGTTGTCATTCTGCCAACAAGTATGAAAACAACATCAGCGCAGAGGGCCGACCAACTGCCTTTGTACATGAAAAGCGATTTATTCACTCTGACTAACAGTTCAGCCAGCTTGGAGAAACATTAAACCATTGGAACAGATCTCTGGTGACAGCGTGACAAATCAATGTTTTTCTCTGTGTGTGAGAGAGTGTTTGTTTAACTCTGTCCTTTCCCAATTCCAAACGGAGGCTGTGGTGTTGGTGTTTGGGGAATGGGTCAGGGACTGTGGCAGGATAGGGCCACTTCATTCACTAACAAAGCCAAGGTCACTGCAGCTGCCCTGGGGCCATGGGAGTGGGGGATGGCCCCCCCGAGTGGGGAATGGGAAGAGAGTGAGGGAGGAGGAGGTGCGTTACGGGGGAGGACAGAAAAGGAGGAGGGGAATTCTGCCCCAGTGCACACACAGAGGTCACCGTTTTCCAGCTGACTCCTCCCCCACTCACTCTCCTCCTGACCTCTGACCTTCCCATTTCTGAGTCAATGCAGAGACAGAGTGGGGGAAGGGGCACGGAGCAGGAGGGGAGAGAAAAGCACCTACCCACCCACCCAGGACAGAGCACAGTAGTGAGGAATGACAAAAGGGGGCCTCAGTCAGCAAGTCAGTCCTTCCGTCTGTCAGTCAGTCAGTCAGTCAGGAAAGAATAGCGCTATGGTCATCATCACAAAGAGGGCCTGGTTTTGTTCTGAACAGCATCTCACCCTGTTCCCAGCCACTCCACAGACTTCAATTCACCCCAACAATGGCTTCTGCAACTCTCGGAGGTACCCAACATAAAGGGGGCTGTGGCTGAGGCCCAGAGGAGTGGATTGGGGCAGTTAGTTGACTGTGTCCTGTCCTGTCCTCTATGTGTCAGATTAGCGCTGTCTCCTGCCTGTCCATCACTCTGGTCTAAGGCTGGGCTTTGTCCCTCTGGTTCATGTGAAGAGGTGAGGAGAGGAGAGCCCATCACGCCACTTCCTGGTCTTGGTATAGACAATGTGGCCGACTGTGGGCTCATGGGGGGAAGAGAGAATGGCCAGGCCTGTGGGGCTGTGGGGCTAGAGAGACAGACAGAGCACCAGGCTCTCTAGCCCAGCCACCAGGCCCAGACAGACAGACAGACAGACAGACAGACAGACAGGCTCCATCACCTCCTCCTCCCCTCCTGACACTCCACGTCCTCTTCCTTTCACTCATTTATATGTCTTTACCAATCTCACAGGTTGTACAAAATGTCCGCCAAAGGGGAGGACAGGAAGGGGGAGTTTTTATTGGTGGATGGTGCTGGCCCTGTAAAGCTTTT